CCCCGAAATAATGGGTCACAAGAATGTGACAAACATACAAAAGAAGTAGAGGAAAAATGACGATAGCAAGGATTAGGAAAGAAGAAAAAGAGGCAGTTCCCCGTTACAGTTCTGGCACTGTTGTTATGAGCATGGCATAGATGAAGCAGCCCATTTACAATTCTATTGTGCAATAGATCATGTTAATGTCTCCCCTTGGGGAAAGGCCTAAAGACACTTCAGTCAGTTGGGGGTCTCCTCTTAACTGACAACAGATCGCCAAATCAGAAAAAAATCAACAACTTACGGGTAAGTCTCGATTGTTTCTATAATTAACGCCTAACCGCTACACCACAGGTGCAGGTTTTTACTTTTAGAACCAGGTAGAAAAAAAAAGCAAGACGGACAAAGACAATACATGTAGTGGGGAAAATATAAAGAGGTAAACCCTACGAGCAGGGCCCTAAAAAAATTATTACAGTTTTTAAAAAAAATGTGGATCTAGGTGTCTTTTACGCCACCATTGACACAATGTCATCTAGATCATTCAGGTCGCGTGTTTCCGACCCCACCAGGGCCAACCCGGGCTGAGAGGGATATAGCTTAATATCCCAGCAGAAAAACCGAAATACTTGACAAAATATTTTCTCCCCTCTCGGGAATCGAACTCGGGTCTCCTGCGTGCGACAGCGAAGCGCCTAACTCACTGCTACACCACAGACACCGGTGATAAAAGTTGTTCAGAACTTGCAGAACAAATAGCTCATACACGTGCCGAAGATTAGAAGTGATACCACAGAGAGACAATATTATAAACATAAAAGAAGCGGAGGAGGTGAGGACGATGCATGGATGTTTGACAGAAAAAAGGAGTCTAACTACACCAAAGAACCAGCCAACCACCCACCGCCCCACACTCCCTCCCCACCTCCTCCACTCGCCGGGTTTTCGAGACGTGTACAGTGTACAAGCGAACGTCCTCTTTACGGGGTTGCTAACGACTACAACAAAACGAGTCTATAACGTCACAGCAAAGTCGAGATGTCGGTTTGTTTTAATTTTCGTAGCAGTTTTAAGGCACTTGCAAAATAAGGTCATGTAAGTGACAAAGATAAGAGGAATTATAAAGAGTAGAAAAAAACCTGCAAAAAACAAAAACAAAAAAGGAAGAGAGATAAAGACGACAGATGTTTGGTAGGAAAAAGGGAGAAAGCCATACCAATACCAGAGCACTTACACACCACTCACGTCAGTTTGTTTAGAGTGAGCGGGGAGATGTAGATCGACACAATGGCGATCATTTAGAGCCAGGGGAAAAGAACCCAAAGTTGTTGTTGTTTTTTAAAGGAGTTAAAAAAAATATAGTAGAGGGTTTTACGGCGCTCGCAACTGCAAAAGGTCATATGAGCGCCAAGAGGTGGGTGTCAACAGAGAAGTCTTTACAGGGAATCAGACTTAGACTGCTCACCTCTCTAGTTTCAACAACAGCACAAGGTCTGCTTCGACTATCAAGGCACCCCAAAATAGCAGGTCACAAGAGAGCGACAAACATACAAAAGAAGTAGAGGAAAATGACAATAGTAAGGAATCAGGAAAGAAAAAGCAGCAGTTCCCTGTTGTAGATCAGGCACAGTTATGAGCGTGGCATTACTCAGCCCATTTACAATTCTACGATGCTTGAACGAGAAATGTCCCCCCTTTGGAAATGGCCTAAAGACACTTCAGTCAGTGGCACTGCCAAAAGGAGGTTTTACGGCGCTCGCAACTGTATATTATATGGTCATATGAGCGCCCGAAGATTAGAAGTGTTACAAGAGAGTAACAAACATAAAAAAGAAGAAGGGGAGATAAGGACGATAGATGTTCGATAGGAAAGAAGAAGCAAACCACACCAGAGCACCCGCCAACCACCCACTAAAGCTTGTTTGTTTGAGTAAAGAGAAGCTCATCAACACAAAACTCCCATTTATTAGAGCAGGGGAAAGCTAGAGACAGATGGACAGAGGAAATAAAAGAAGTAAAAGTAATTAGAGGCGTCCCCTAACTTCCCGAAAGAAGTAAGCAGACAGCCAGCAACAAAAGACAGATACAACAATAGAAGTAGGAACTATCATTTCACTGTCCCCGTGGTTTCATGCACCTCGCATAATTTAGCAAAATTTGATCATTTTTTTGCATAATTTCTTATTATTTTCCTTTACCATTCTTTATTAAAATTAACAGAATCGCATAATTTCACATTTTTGGGCTCAGTTTGAATAATTTCATATTTTGTCTTGCCATAAACGACGGGGACAGATACCAGTAGCACTCGCACTCTCCAAGAAAGTGGGAATAGTCTGTCAAATTAAATCAGCGGAGCAGCGAGCCCGTCCATTCACAGTTGCATGATGAAGATCATACTGAAACATTCAGCTTATTCAAAGTAGATCTATGGGTGGTTGGGTGGTGCTCTACTAACGTAGTTTGCTCCTTCTTCCCTAACAAACAGCTATAGTCCTTACCTCTCCTTGTTTTGTATGTTTATTACTCTCTTGTAACACCTCTAATCTCCGGCATTTAAGACCTTATTGTGTCGCAAGTGCCGTAAAACGTTTACTGGGTGTTTGTCGTCCCCGCCTCAGTATGCAGCGATAACATAATTAATATTGTAAGGGTTCAACATCCTTTCCCAACGCCATACTGTAAGGCATTTTACGTGGAAAGACCTCGGAATATAACTAGACTCATGTATCAGGACCGAGCTACCTAAGAGAAGAGCCGTAATGTAATTGTAGATGTTTAAATTTACGTCCCCATCAATACAATTTAGATCACAAAGGAGGCGGGCTGTTTCGAACCCACTTTGTCAATTTTAGTTTTAGTAGAGGTTTTACGGCGCTCGCAACTGCATAAGGTCATATGAGCGCCAGAAGATTACAGGTGTTACAAGAGAGTAACAAACATAAAAAAAGAAGAGGGGGAGAAAAGGACGATAAATGTTTGATAGGAAAGAAGAAATATACCACACCAGAGCCCCCGCCAACCACCCACCCACCTGTAAGGGCCAACCCACTCTGGGCTGAGATGGATACAATGTCCCAGCAGACGGACAGAAACACTCAATGAAAAACCCGCGCATAATTCTAGGAATCAAACGTGCGTCGTCTGTCTGCAACTGCGACAGTGAAGCACCTAACCACTACAGTCCTACACCACAGACGCCAGTACCAAACAGAGATCAGACAGACAAAAAAGCTATAAACAAGGATGCCTTCTCCTGGACGGCATGGTATTTAGTTTTAGTCTTAGTAGTTTTACGGCACTTGCAACACAATAAGGTCATATAAGTGCCGAAGATTGGAGGTGTTACAAGAGAGTGACAAACACAAAAAAGAAGGAGGGGAGATCAGGACAATAGATGTTTGATAGGAAAGAAGGAGCAAACCACACCAGAGCACCCGCCAACCACCCACTGGCATGGTGCGGTAGCCCACTTTCTATTAAGGAAAGTAAAGAGACTTTGAGTTTGAGTGTCAACCTCTGATAGGACTAAAGCCAGATGGATGAAGAGCCCTGAAAGCTCCTCCATAAATCGAAATTCAAGAAAGTCCGGTTGAGAATAATTTCAAACAGGAAGGCTGCAGCCAAGAGAACCACTGAGCTACAAGCTCCCGGAAAGTTTCTTCTCTCACTTGCAATAAGCATGGACAGCTGAGAATGATGACAACATAACACGTCAAACCCAAAACCCTCTCTTTTAATTTCAAAAGAAAACTTAAACAACTTTTTTGTTTTAGAAAGAGTTTGACGACACTTGCACTTGCAACACAGGCCACATAAGTGCAGAAGATTAGAGGTGTTACAAGAGTAACTAACACAAAAAAGAAGGAGAGATATGCACTATAGATGTTTGATAGGAGAGTTCAGTTTTGATAAGAGTTTTACGGAACTTGCAACACAATATGGTCATGTAAGTGCCGAAGATTAGAGGTGCTACAAGAAAGTAACAAACACAAAAAAAGAGGGGAGATCAGGACGATAGATGTTTGATAAGAAAGAAGGAGCAAACCACACCAGAGCACCCGCCAACCACCCACTTGATAGGAGAGACGGAGCAAACCACAGGAGAGCCTACCCAAGGAATAAATTTAACTACAGACACCTTGCTCCTGGTTTCGATTCAGTGCAATGCCCTAAAAAACACTCTTTGTTTTAGTAGAGGTTTTGCGGCGCTCGCAACTGTATAAGGTCATATGAGGGCCAGAAGATTATAGGTGTTAAAAGGGAGTAACAAACATAAAAAAGAATGAGGGGAGATAAAGACGATAGATGTTTGATAGGAAAGAAGGAGCAAACCACACCAGAGCACCCGTCAACCACCCACAAAAACACTCTATAACAAGATATAAATATAAGAAATAAATAAACACTCCATTATAACATTTCAAACAACAGGCCCAACAGTGTATCACAAAACCTTTTGGGGGTTTCAGAGTCAACAAAAAAATAACACCTCTTGTACATTAATGAGACTAAATGAGTAAATTTCGAGAGAGAGAGAGAGAGAAAGAGAGAGAGAGAGAGAGAGAGAGATAGAGAGAGAGAGAGAGAGAGAGAGAGAGAGAGAGAGGGAGAAAGAGAGAGGGAGATAGAGAGAGAGAGATAGAGAGAGAGAGAGAGAGAGAGGGAGAAAGAGAGAGAGAGATAGAGAGAGAGAAAGAGAGAGAGAGAGAGAAAGTAGAAAGAGAGAGGAAGAGAATAAGAGAGAGAGGTCAAGAAAAGAAAAGACAGCAATGTAAACCCACAACAAACCTTAAGCCTCTAAATAGAAAGACAAAGCGGACACATCTTTGTACTCAGATGTGCACACAGGATAGACAAGCTGAGATTCCCACACAACATTATGCTTAAAACATATTTCATATATATACAAATTAATCTGCAGTGAAAGCAGATACAGTCGGGCATGGATAACTCAAACATGGGGATTGAAAAATGTGAGGCAGCGTGGTGGAATCAGGCTCTCGTCAATTTTTGAGCATGTAGAGTTATTGGTACCATCTTAAAGCTTGTTCACTTGTCTTTATTTGGTTGAAAAAAATATCCATTTATCTTCAATACAAGTCGAGATATTTGTGAACGAAGGAGGTGGGGGTCCCCTGTTTTCAGAGGTAAAATTAGTGAGAAAACGGCTGCCAAATATTAGTTATTTCCTTAGCTTAAGAGTCTGTCGTAACTGAAAATTTACATTTTTTGTGCCTTTAATCAACGTTTTAAAGAAACATCCACACAGAAATGAGTTCTTTAATGGGCATGAAAGGTGTTGAGCCAAAAAACAAAATTTTGATAAAAATTCACAAACCTGAGGAAAAATGCAAGTTTCTTCACTTTGATTATTTTGACGAGAGCCTGATTCCACCATGCTGCCTCACAAATGTTTTTGACACACCCATATTTTGGGTAAACCGATAATTTATAATGAAAAATTAAAGACATATCAGTCGGCCAACGACAAGTAGTGAGTGCCATTTTTTTTACTGTGCTAGCCGTGATTTCCAATATTTCCGTGTGCCCGACTGTATAATTCCGGAAAACATTCCTTGCAGATGTGCAAGAGACATTCGTTGGACAGCAAATGACTAGCTTATGAGTCAGGACAGCACAAAACTGGAACATTGCCCAGGCCCAGAAGTCATGGTCAAAACCCAAAATAAAAAAAATAATCCAAAATATGATGCGAGTAACCAAGTATTATGAAACCCCCCACAAAAACCTTAAGAATACTGACCCTCTTACCACCACCTGGCAATAATGCAGACGTAACTCTCTCTTCGATGAAATTGTTCCAGCTATGAAAGGCCACCTCCAGATGATGGAATAAAACAAAAAAAAAGCTTATGGAAGGCATAAAAATATTTACACACACAATGAACTTACTAACCAAATATGATGAATACAAAAGCACCCAGCCAGTTGGATTTAAACTAGCTGCTTCCAGCGTAAAATAGGCAAAACAATGTTGTAGGAACTTTAAAATAATTATAATCTGTGAATATCACAAAACCCTGCATGAAGTTGCAACAAAATACAACAGGACAGAAGTTAGCTCTGATCAATAACTGAATTCTGATTTCACAACTTTCAAATTAACTGGAACACCAGAAAGCTTTAGACTAACATGGTTTTTGATTTTCACTGATTTTATGGAAGAGTGAACATTTTTATATCAATACATTGCTACCTCAAGCAAAATGACAGTGCAAATAGCCAGGCAACTTGCAAAGCAGAAAAGTAAATAACAAGAGACAGAAAATAGCATGAGACAACATGAAATATGAAAAACAACTGGAAAACAAGAGACATGGACATTAGGGGGACAAATGAAATAGCAGCAATACCAGAGAGGCAATAAGTTAAGAACTAAACTTGTTTTCACAACTGAGTACTTTAAAAAAAGTGTTAGTACGAGTCTTATGGCACTTGCAACACAATGAGATAATATATAAGTGTCAAAGATTAGGATTGTTTTTTTATTAGCTGAGTTTTTATGGCCCTCGCAACTGCATAAGGTCATATGAGTGCCAAGGGGTGGATGTCAAGTCAACAGAGAAGTCCACACAGGGAATCAGGCTTACTCTGCTCACCTCTCTAGTTTCAATAGCACAAAGTCTGCTTTGACTATCAAGGGTCACAAGAGTGTGACAAACATACAAAAGAAGTAGAGGAAAAATGACGATGGCAAGGATTAGAAAAGAAAAAGCAGCAGTACCCTGTTGCAGTTCAGGCACAGTTATGAGCATGACATTGATGAGTCACCCCATTTACAATTACAATTCTAATGTGCATAAGAACATGGTTAATGTCCCTCCTTTGGGAATGGCCTGAAGACACTTCAGTCAGTAGCACCCCTCTGGGGGGGTGTTTGGTTCTCAGACCCTCAAAAATGTATAAAATATGTTTTCTACATACTTGTTGACGGCTATGCGGTTGTTATTCTAAGAATTATTGGACAAATAAAACTACATTTCAACCACCAAAATTGTTGCTGCTGTTAAGTTGTAATCCATACCAAACTCGCACAGTAACTGCCACATTTCTGCAATAAATGATAACAATAAAAGTAGTTTTGAAAAAGAGTTGAGAGTCGACAGTCATGGAAAGGAAACTATCATGTTAGAAAGGTCAAATGGTTATGAATAAGGTTTGGTGTTGAAAAAATTATATATAGACTGAGAGCCAAATATTGTTCTGAGAGAAAGGACAATAATAATATAGACATTACCATTGTAACAGACAGAATTCTTGCAAAAATCAGAAGAGCCCATTGATTTGGGCAGCAAATAATTCTCTTTGAGTACTGAAATGCATGAGAGAAAGTAACAGGGGAAAAAAATGAGCCCTTAAAAATATTATGGAACTATAAGATGTGTGTGCCCAATATTACTAAGAAGACTACATAGTTGAGGTATATTTGGAGGCAAAACACAATGCCTTGTTGTCTGACCACAGAAGTATTTTAAGAGAATAAGTACATAAATATACATCATATGATGCCTGGAAAAGGCAGGTCAAGTAAAATGCATATACAGTCGAACCGAAGAATAACGGCCATGCATAGTCAAGGAAAAAAGTGGCCGTATAATACAGGTGGACATCCTAGGCAGGACTGATCAAAAGGGGCTGATCTCAGGCCTAGGACTGTCGTGAGGCGAATTTAAAAGGGTTCCTTTCTTTTTTTTTTAATGGAGGATGGGGATTCGGCGGGTGTAAGAAGTTTTTGTTGCAGTTGTTTCGTTGATTTGTTTTTTGGTTAGCTTTTGTTTGTTGCTGATTCTGCGCAAGTGTAAAATATATGAAATGTTATGTACGATGAAGACCGAGTGCCATGGTAAAACAAACACTGGGTCGCCACTACTCGGAGAACGAGCGATGCTTCTGTCACAAGCTCACGTTAACGTCCATTGCCACTTTGCTACAGATTTGGTAAACAAAACAGTGACCAGTCACCTCAAATATGATTTGTGCACGAGTTGTGGGCGGGGCTTATAAGTTATGACGGATCACACGCTTCCTTCAACAGCACTTGATAATTTATTGTTTTCCATTGGTCAACTTGGGTAAACATTCATTGGAGGGACTAACAATAACGACAGGTGAATGGATTATGACGGCCCGTTCACAGCGTCAGAGGCCGATTTAGAATTTATGACAAAGCATTGGGCGAGTGGAGACCACGCCAGGCCGCCTCAGGCAGGTAAATTTACTGAAAGTAGATAAAATAAGGCGACCGCGGCCGTGTTCGACAGGTGACCATTTTACACAGTTAAATTATATTTTAAAAACAAACAAAAAACGCAAGGGGTGAAATGGAAAGCGGCCGTTTTTACAGGTGGCCATATTATTATTATTATACGGGTCGCCGTCAAAGCAGGTTCGACTGTATAAAAAGTACAAGCACTGATGGCAACTTCTAATTCCAGCTCTCAAAAGTGCCTAACATCTGGTTACACATGATGAGAACATTACAGGATCTCCCAGCATGATGAGAACATTACAGAATCGGATCTCCCAGCATCATATAAGCAAAAGTAAACACAGTGCGTCCTCAACAAAGATTTCCATACATTGTATAAACTTTTCATCATTCATCATTCAAAACAGTAGCCTTATGGGTTATTTAAAATAAAAGTAACAACAGTGTGAAACTATAAAAGCAAAAGCAAATATAAGACTCGTCTTGTCATCTCATTCTCATAGCAAAGAAACCTAAGACAAAACGACAGCTATGGCAGTGAGTAAAAGCGGGAAATTGTACAGTGGTGATCAATAATAAATAACTATATCTACAGATAACCAATAAAACCATCAAATATGTAAAGTATTCATAACGAAAATACCACGTGGTTATAAAAAAAACCCTCTGGAAGAAAAGTTAAATTTATCAAACTGATTCCACATGAACATATAGTTTTGCCCCGCAACATGAGAAAAACACATCATCCCACAACAAGTTTAGCTAAACTGGTGACTCATAGTTCCTCGCCTCCCCTTTCTCCCTGTAAAACCAAAAGGGATGGGAAGGCATTTTCTGCCAACCATCTGTTCATCGACAGTTTTCACTATAAGCAATACATGTTTCTAGGATGCAGCAGCAGTTAAGGGGGCTTGCGGGTTGGGTCTAGGGCCTCGAGGACCGATTTTCACTCACTCTCAGCATTTCTTTACTTTTGGTATTTTCTCATCCCTCATTCAGTCTAGATTAAATAGACACTAGAATCTAGCTGCTATTGAAAATCGGGCAGAAAACATGAAATTGTCAACAAAGCTCATCACATTTGGTACCGGTATCTATTTATGGCTTGGCTTCGCATCTCTAACAAGGTTTTACCAACAAAGGCTTTCATTCATACTGCAACCCTTCGATGAAGTTCAAAGATAGTATGCGTCTTCACTCTGGTTGGTTACCGTTCCAATCCCAATAGCCCTTGCGAACACCTACCAATTGTAAGTAGTCGAAATCTCATTTCTGTGCAGTTCACATATATAGTTTAGCTAAAAGTAGCTTTCGGTAGACCTAGTGTTATTGTGTTTTCTCATCAAAGTAAACCAGAAATTATATTAGTTAACGTGAATATATGGAATTATGAGTAATAAAATATTTCTAAAAGAAATCAAATGAATGTTATCGATTTTGGCTCAAGTCTAAACCTGACAAGCCATCGGGTACCTGGCATGTTTACGTCTCGGGCAAGCATTGGGAAGACACTGACAGACGAAGTGAATGCCACCTGTTGACTCGCAGTTTACACTCAGATCTAGATCACGTGCGTTTGATAAAGTGTTAAGATGCCAAAATAGTTTGCCTTTGGTCAGAAGAAACGTTGTTATAAAAAACCCAGGGGTAAATATGCATGTAAAGAAGCAGAGCCTCCGATTGCATTGACCCTGATCCTGGAGAATGATACCTGGCCTTGGGAGAAACGGCATGCAGAGAGACCTATCCTGCACCGTTGGCAATTCCTTCAGCCAGCATTGAAGAAAGACACAGGTAAGAGTTCAATTTTGTAGTTCTAGACTATAAATCTAGAGATCTAATAACTCCAGAGGCTGTGTGTTTTTTGTCTGTAATTTTTTTTCGCTCATTTTTATTGAAAGTCAACAAGCAAAATATAGACTAGATATCTAGATCTATTACTAGATCTGCTACAAATTTTTACTGTGAACAGATCTGTCCTTGGTTCCAGCCTTGACACTAGCTGTCATGGAGCTATAAGGCTTGATTTTAGTCTCGATACTGGTTTGTGTTACATACAGATGTAAATAGAACTAGATGCTACCTCTGTTCCAGTTTGTTGAAAGTCATTGAAAGGTAAATACACAACTTACAATTCGCCTTTCCCCTACCCCTTCCCTCCCAATCCCAACCATCTCTTTCCACTGAGATTCCTACTTGTAATTCCAGGCACCTTGAGACTTCCCATGTCGACATGGCTAAAACATCTCGGTCAGAGTCAAAACCGGCAGCCTTCAACGTATGGAGTGTGACGACTTTTTAAGTATAGTGTAAAAAATCAAAATAGCCAGCTGCAAGCACCTTTTATTTGTGACGTTTTGCAAAATACAGAATTCCAAAAAGTTACAAACTGTAGAAATGGTGGAGAAAAAAACAACCCAACTCTACTATTTTCTATCAAATTTTCAAGATGGCTGCCGTTTCCATGGTAACGGCTAACATAATCCAGTGTGTCAACAGTTGAACAGGAAACTTTTGTCTCGTACTTTCTGCCTGTGATAAAAGTTGTTTCAGTTTGTCTTTAGTAAAAAATGTCCCGTAAGTATCGAGCCCCCTAAACACTTTTCCGGTGGCCTCAGTACTCAAAACCATCTCATAAAACGAGCACTACGAGGCTTTACTCCTACGGACACCCTGCCACTGGTGTGCTTCATACTTCGGTGAGAACATCTGGCGAGAGAAAACCGAGGTTCCAGGTCGGCAGGAAGGGCATATTTTTGTCACAAGAAGGATGACAATTCGTCAAAACACCAGAAGGCACACATGGAAGGCTGTTGGCAATTATACAGTGAAGCCGGATTATAATAAACTTAAAGGTACCACACCTGGCATTCTAAGTAAGGGGTTTATGCAAAAATTAAGACTCGCAAGCAACCTTTCTCTTTTTTTATCTAAGTTTTTTTTTCTTTTAAAAAGAGGTTATTCTTTTAAATTCAAAGTACGCTTTACGATTGTTTAAATTAAGATAAGCAGACTAAAGCGTGTGGTTAAAACTATGCAGAGAGTAATCTCATTTCTACCAAACAGCACACCCTTCCCTATTTACAACACCAGCAGCCAATCACACAATATTTTCTGGCTCCAGCGCATAAGGTCGCTTGGAAAGTCCATATCGTTGCATGAGCTGGGCAAATTTAGCATCCCAGCTAGCTTTGTTCTTGCTGTAGAGGTTCAGATAGATACCCAGAACAACCACCAGGCCTGACCAAATGTACCTGAAATATGAGAAAAAAAATGATAATTACAAGTTTCTTACCTAAAAAAAAAAATACTTAAAAAATGAAACGATACACTGAACATTCTGGCCTATACAGCAGAATCCTGTATGAAATTCATCCCTAAATTGTAATTACAAGTTGAAAATTGGTCGTAGACGACACAGACAAAACACTGGACAGGACGACAAGAAGAGAATAACCCCCCCAAAATAGAAAGACAATGGACATTGAACCGTAAAAACACACTGACGCTATAATTTGCGAGTCAGTAGACAGAAATTACCAGTTGCTGTGAGTTACATTTTGTTTATAAATGAAGCAGTCAAAAATCGGTCAGACGTCATTACTTTCAAGCTGACCTCTATCTCTTTCATAAATACCAACAAACAGAGCTAAGGAATATATGCAATATAGTCCATAAAAAGCACATATCTGATGGGGTTTTGCGATACACCCCTCTCCAATTTTTCAAAACTTACTCTGAAGTGAAAGGCTTGGTGAAGAACATAAAGGACAAAATGATGGTCACAGCTTTACGGCAGGTGGTAACTGGAGGAAACAGAGAAAAAACAGTATTTAGGACAAATACAAAAAACTTGGAAAAGCAGTCAAAGCCAGAACTAAGATAATTGTTTGCAGGGACATTACTCGTAACTGAAGGGTTTATTGACTATACATCAGAATCTACATTTTATCACTTCTAACATGATAAGAAACTTCTTCATCATTATCAGCACCAATTTGAACTGTGACAAACCATCCCCCCCCCCCCCCCCCCACTAATGTTGCCATTTTGTTGTTTCTTTAACTTTAATTGACAATACAACAGGATAACAAATTTAAATCGAAGTAAAAAGGAATGGACCAAACAATACTAAAATGGTTTCAACTCTTCATACAACAGTAACTTTTCTCTTTATAACAAACACATCAAACATTTTAAACAAAATTATACCTAAAGTCAGCGCTAGACTATCTACATCATGGCAGCAGCAGTTCCTCAGCTAGTGCCAGACAGACTATGTTGTGGCAGCAAAAAGCCAAGTATCTCTTCTCAGGACACAAAGTTCTCATAGCCATTGTAAAAAGTGAACCCACAGCCTACGACTTGGCAGTCTAAATAACAAGGCAAGGACTCCTTCGCACAGGATAAGAAAGTACAACATACCTGTCACTGCAACTAAAGCACCAAATGATTTCACCAGTGTCAGCACTACATACAGACCCAAATAGCCCGTTATAGAGAAGATCACAGCATAGCCATAGGTTTCTGTTATATGCTGAAAGAAAAAAAAAGGCAAAACAGATTTTTAAAAATAATCAAGCAAGAGTACAACTTTACTGCACACCAAAATATAGTTTAAACTCAAATTTGTATTTGCAGTAAAGATGATGTATAAAAATTGTTCTGAACCTGATTTTCGTTTGTCTCAAGACACTCAAACAAAACTCCATTTGAAATTACACAATACTGCATATACGCAGACCACAGCTATTTGACAGTTTGTGTGTAGAGCAGGGATCAACACAGTTCTGACAGACCCACACCTGTTTCAGTTTCCGTTCAAGAATCACTTCAAGATACAATAACTTTATAATTATAACGCCAGAAAATGCATTTATGGTTAAGAGTTTGTCTTTGCTTTCTTTCCCTGAATACTATCATATGGCAGGGAATACAATGACACAACAGGAAATAAGAATCCACACAACTAATGGAACTCAAGAAAATTTTTTTTTTTTACATAACTTCAAAATAACTCCTTTTCTCATCCAATTCATTCCATTTACTGTCTTATTTTCGCCAGAGGCCCCAAGATGCTGCAGAAAGTTAAAACCTATCTCTGTGATTCACAAATTATACAAAGTGACAGTCATCTTTCAGCACACTAGCATCTGTGGTGCAGCAGTTAAATGCTCTGTTGTTGCATGCTGGAGACCAAAGTTCGATTCCCGAGTAGGGAGAAAACTTATCAAGTATCTTGGTCATTCTGCTGAGATGTTGAATCCTTCTCAGCCTGGGTTGGTCCTGACACACAGGGTCGGAAGCCCACTTCCTAACTGCTCTAAATTCTGTCGATAGAGACTTAAAAATACCTAGATTTAGAAAAATAAATTCACAGCACTTACCTCCTTGCAAAAATAAAATGCTGGTAAAAGAGACCCAGTCATGAGAAGCCCAGTGAAGATGTACAAAAAGCCGATGGAATAAGAGTACAGGACCTGAAATGTAAAGCATAAGTCACACAGCTGCACAGAAAGGATAATGAGGATTGGTACAGGCTTAGCTGCTTAGCTCCTCTTTTGACAGATCAAGAGGATATTCAAGAGGAATGACCAACAATTTCAATGTCTAGTGCCAACAGGAGCAAGCGAAGAAAGTGGAAAGCCATGAAAACTCAAAACACTCAGGCAATTCAGGCCAGTAGCACCTATACTGTAGTCCAGATCACTTTAACTCTTAAGAAAAGGTATAATCCCCCCCCCTTGTCACAAAGGAACTTCACTCACCATTTCACCATTGCTGGCTCCGTATTGTTTGAGAGTTTTTTCTTGTACATTGCCAATGACACCATCCGCACATAAGGCCAAAGAAATGAGAATGATACCTGAGGACCATATGTGAAGCATCGTGGTGAAATTAGGTGCTCATCAAAATAATGAAATCGAAGAAACAGGCAAATTTTTGTTTTTTGGCTCAGCACCTTTTATGTCCATATAAAAATACACTTCCACATGAATTTTCCTGAAAAACGTTGATTAATGGCACAAAATATGTAAATTTTCAGTTCTCAAAGATTCTCAAGCTATAGATCTAGAAGTTACCAAACTTTGGAAGCCATTTTCTTGCAAATTTTACCCCAGAAAACAGGTTACCCCCCTCCTCCTTCAATCGCAAATAGCTCGACTTAAATTCAAGATAGATGGGCATTTTTCCACCTAAAGAAAGACAAATAAACAAGCTATAAGATTATACCAACAACTCTTTATGCCCAAGAATTGACAAGCACCTGAATCCACCGCGTCGTGACATGTGTGAAGAATCACAAATATTTACATAAGTACTTGGAGTAGGTGGGTGCACTGTCTAGATTTAGTGTGTTTTAATCTTTAATGAAAGTTTTGGAGCCTATCTAAAAAGACATACTGACATAACTATCCCATCCCCCCCCCCCCCCCCCCCCCCCCCCCCCCCAAGAACACTACATTTTGTAGGAATAGAAAACGTCCACAAGAAAAGTGCTCAAATTTCTATATACCCATGAATTGGGCCAGTAGAAAAATAAATATTTTGCATAATTAGTCCAAAAACCTACACAAAACAAGATCTTTCTTTTAACATTATCAATGTTTCAGGAAAAAAAAAACTACTTTTGCATATTGTGCCAGTTTGGACAGTTGACAATACTTATTTGTGTATATACAGCACTATACAAAATCAAACCCCAAGCAATACAGACATCATGCAGTTTTTCATATTCCTATTAGTCTAAATTAAGTTTTGTGCTTGTTTCACACAGCTGTGTACGCAATTTTCAATGGAATAACAACATGTCTACAATCTAAGTATGGGAGAGACTTTACTACTGCCACAATTATGAGAATAGACATTTCTCAAATGACAAGTGGGAAAGACAATGTAAGCATTGACGACTATACTATGGAAGACAAAAGGTTAGGTGAAAAAACAGAAAAGATTAAGCTGCCATCTTTCGCTTGAAGACTCCATGAAACACGCTAAAAAAATATAAGAACAAATTATACTGAAACAGTAATCAATACATGCTATTCATGTGGACATCCTGAGACAGCTCCTGAACACGATTAGTCTGAGCCCTGAGAGCCACACACTTATGACACTTAGTTAAAAATATAAACCCACGAAGAAGCTGCTGGATTGATCCCAACAACAACAAAAATGGAAGCAATAAAAGTTGTCACTCATCACCATAAGTGCTGAAGTTTGGAGAGACTGTGCTGTCAGCCAGGGTAAAGAGAATGAGGCCGACACTCATACACAGACACGCAGAAACATCAATCAGGCTGAACTTTTTGCCTGGAGAATAAAACAAACAACCTCATTTATTTCTGCATCTCTAACGTCCATAACCGTTTTAGTGCAAAAAGAAAACATCAACATAAATAAGAAAACGTATAATTCAATTTGAGTTTAAATCATACGATTATAAGAAGATTTCATTTATTTTAAAGTGACCACCGAATTGAGACTTTATCAGAGCACCCCCCCCAACCACGATCTCCAAACACACAAAGGTCTAAGTCTCAAAAGGAAAAAAAAAAAGCCCTGAAAGTTTTGAACAAAAACAGGGTAAATTACATCACATTGCAACAACTAATGGGGCGAAAACAATACATATAACAAGAAAAGAAGTCATCCATCATAAACTTTAACTAAGACATTTTCCTGCCACAAGTGAGTGAGGGAGTGGATGAGAAGATGAAATCAAAAGAGGAGAACAAAGATAAGAACATGCAGTCACCTTGAATCACAATGCCTCCAATTAGCACAGGTATGAGCTTGCAACACTTGAAGATAACCTGTGTGGGGTAGTTCAGATAACCCACTGCTGTGTTGGACAGACCCATGGTGGCCACAGTCAGGAAGGCAAGGACCAGGTAAGCTCTCAAGGGAATCCTAGGATACCATATATACATTTATGATTTATCTTGTTGAGGGGTAGTCTCCAGCTTGCTGCCAATCAGCATGGCAATGGCTATACTTTGCCAAAAGCAGACAATCTTACCTTTGGACAATAACAACACAGAAAAGAAAAAGATAAATTGGACCAAACAAGAATTCAGATGAATTGACTGTCTTATGGCATACCATAAATGATTATGGATGCTGAAAAATGTTGAATGATTATACATATAAGAAACTGTGCTGAACATACATGTACACAACGAGAGGACAAAAAATCGGTATGTGTGCTTGGCATGTGCTATTCTATGGCTACACTGTATATTGCTTTATGAATATTCCAAAGAGACACAACAGGCCTTTCAGGGGAAAGGGTCTATGCCCCATTAAAGTGACAACTGTCAAACAACACTTACACCACATGGGTTAAAGATCACAGAGTTAACTAGAATGGATCACCAAAAGGAACGGTTGTTCTGATTTTTAAAAATTGAAACTATGGGTACAATAATGTAATAGAATAAGCCTTTACAGTAGTAAAGATGTGATTATTGTCTTGTCTTTTTAAATCTTATGAGGACCATGATCATTGGTGAGAAGAACAATAAAAGACATTATTTCCTGAACTCACTTCCTTGTCTTGTCTTCTTTCAGTTGTAGCTCAGCCACTCCAAAACAAGTGTAGTAGGCAAATTGAATCAACGTGAGATACCATCCAAAAGGCTTGAAGCCTTCAAGGCGGAACATCAGCTCCTTCAAAATAAAGAGTTCAATAATTTTGAAAAATAGACCTTATTTATGAGGAGCAATAATTAACATGAAAAAGACAGAAGCAAAAAATGTATAATTGTCTCAAATAAATGAACTTTTAGTGAATTATAAAGAGGCAGTTCAATCTTGGTAAATAATGTAGCCCCATAGCCCCTCCCCAGCCCCCCCGATAATAATTTTTTTTTGAGGCAACGACTCTTTGCAAGCAAAAAATTTAAAGTTATTCTTTTGACTTTTTCTATCACATTGCAACAGCTGAGAGTTTGCCCTACAGAAAGTCATAATATTTACAAGATATGATATATGGAGCTCTCATATAAAGAGATTCTTATTAGTGAACTTGAAAAGGAGCTGAATCTCCAGACAAAGGATGAACTATCAACTTTAAGCTAACAATAAATTAAATAACCCTACATAATACTAACCTGCATGTAGCCATAAACAAGATAGAAAGCGAACGTCAGAAAAGTAAGGATCAGGAATTGTGATGAACGTGACAAATACGTCAGGTCAAAGCACCACAAGTGAAGAGGTTCTTTCACTTCGCGTCCTTTGAAACTCTCTGGCATCTTTACCACAGTTGATTGATCTTGCGACTTGAAAGACTGCGAGGTCCGCGCTGAAAATACATTCATCTTCTGCCTCAAACCTTCTGGTGGCAGAAAAGACTTGGACATCCTGAGACACCCTAATTTCCTCTACAGAGACACTGCAACTATTCATCCATGACATAAGTTGCAAACTTGATCTTGACTGGTGAGAGAGATTTGTCACACTGTATTCCTGAGAAGTAGACAAATGGTAAATCTGTCTATTTGGAACTATTGTCCATATGTAAAAAAAAAAGGTATTCTTTCACTTTCCCTCTCATCTCACACTTAGCTACCAGTTGTCCATTTTCTACTATATATCGATGTGCTGAACACGATAACTTCATTTCTGTCGCAAATTAATAGTTTCTAAAATAATAATATATATATATATGGTTTTGAATCGAGCTATATCAGACTAAGCCTAACTGCGTAGTGATTTGCGTGCTTGGGACCAATCGAGGTGTGTAATGAGGTAATAAAAAAATGTGGTGGGTACTATAATTTGATATATTTTGTCGTTAAGTTTGAAATTTGCAAGAAAATAATTGATTTGCGACAGTTTTAGAATGTTTGATCTGCAGCGAACAATAGACTGAAGTCTGATCCTCAAAGTAGTGATTCTGAGTGCGGGAGTAAAAGTAAAAATTAATTTACCAAAATTTTAACATAATAATTCCAAATCAATCATTGTATGGCACTGCTATGTTTTTTAACTCTGTACATTTAGCGTGTAAGTCAAGTTAAGTGTGCCCAGCTTGCAAGGTCTGAGATTGACAACAAAATCACAACGCGATTAAAGGCGCACATGGTGAGGACATTCACTTCATTCAGAGCAGCAGCAAAGCTTGGAGAACTGTTGAAGATAATGGAGAGCCTCCGCAAAAACATTCTGAGGCTCTGTGATGTAAACTGGAATACGTTGCACAGAGGACATGATATATATAGATCTAACATAAGAAAGGACTTGGTTTCCCTGTTTACGAAAGCCGCTTTTCATCATTGGTCTAAAATAAGCTCTCTCACAGCAATTCCCCTTTCAATTTCATGATCATACTGGTATATGAGTGACCGACCAAACATCCTGCCAGCAAGAAATGAGTTACCATGAACTGCAGTGATGCTCCTTCAAAACAAGAGATTCTGGATGCCATTAAGAAGTTGAACAAAGGTATAGCGGCCGGTCCTGACCAGATTCCACCTGAAGCCCTAAAAGCAGATGCCAATGTGACGGTAGACATCCTCCTCCCACTGTACCAGGATCTGGAATGAGAGCAAGTTCCCAAAGGAATGGAAAGAAGGACACCTCGTGAAGCTTCCAAAAAAGGGGGACTCAGCAACTGCAGCAACTACAGAGGGATCACTCTTCTCTCAATACCAGTTAAGGTCTTCAACAGAATCATTCTGGAGAGAATCAAGACAGCAACGGATCCAAGACTATGAGATGAACAGGCTGGTTTCCGGAAAAATCGCTCAACCACCGACCAGATTGTCACGCTGAGGATTATTGTGGAACAGTCCCTGGAGTGGAACTCCCAGCTTATCGTCAACTTCCTAGACTATGAGAAGGCCTTTGACAGTATAGACCGAGCAACACTATGGAAGATTATGAGACACCACGGAATCCCACAGAAGTTGGTGAACCTCATCAAGAGCATCATGTACGAGGGGACAAGTTGCAGGGTTGTACATGATGGCCAGCTCACCGACAGCTTTGACATCAAGATTGGTGTGTCTACTATCACCGTTCCTCTTCATATTGGCAGTCGACTGGCTGATGAAGGAAACCACAAGAGGACACAGAAATGGTATACAGTGGACACCATGGACACAGTTGGACGATCTGGATTTTGCAGACGACTTGGCCCTTCTGTCGCACACCTAGGAACAGATGCAAGCAAAGACTTCAGTATTAAACAGCCTATTGGAGTCTGTTGGATTGAGGATCCACCCCAGAAAGTCAAAGGTCCTAAGGACAGATGATGCACTACTTAAAAGTACGGCTAGCCACTTCGTTCCTGAACGTTCCTGAGCGTTCGGAGAAAAAGTCACTTCGTAATTATTTAACGAAACATTCTTAAAAAGGAAGAGTAACGAACACATGGTATGGGCTAAAGTTTGTTGAACTAGATTAGATCTAGAATCTAGATTCTACACTAAAACTAAAGGCGGTGACTGAGGCAAAGGTCTGGCATTTGTCATCATTTATTGTTCTCGTCTGAGACTGAAACTCAGAAAGACTCACAAATCTCAAAGTCCAAGCTTAGGCTTAAATGTAAAAACATTTTCTAATGTATGGTTACATTAGCAAGAGCCATGCCACTGTTTTGACAAATTGTTTAGATATTTATGTATTTGTTTTTTAGTCAGTAAAAGCTTCGAGATGTCAAACCAGAAGCCAGTGAAGAAGTCTGTGATGATTCCAGTGCGGGTAGGCCTGGCCTGTGTTGTGGGTTGTGTCGCAGTTGTAGCACAGCACTGTGGTGTGTACTGTGTACTACGTCACCCTACAACACTCGTTCACAGTTATTCCCCTTCCGTAACGAAACATGGCGGCGTCCACCAGTATTGTTTTGGAGTTTGACAAGGCTCGAGATAAATTCAAGGTACCGACTCTATAATCTAATTAACCTCGTATTTTATCGCAAACTTCTGCCATACAGAAAATGAAAAAGAGGTCTTCCTAATACAATCGAACATGTGTAAGACGGTCACCCATTGTTGAGGAGAAAAAGTCTGGGACTTTTTCATGATCATTCATGGATGGTCATTAATTATTGAATTTTATTTAATTTGAGGTTCAGGACTCAAGAAGACAGAAGTTGTTCACATATTTTGATACCAATTTTTAAATTTAACTCAGTGGGACAGCCTATTATACACACATGCTGAAAATAGTGTCCTATATCGGAGTGATTTATGGAAGTGGCTTATTCTCATCCGGGGTGAGAATAGAAAAATGATCTACCTCTCACCCCGGGTGAGACTTGCCAGCGTAGGCTATTCTCACCCGGTGCTAAACAAGACCTGCTTTTCCTCATTTTGGAATACTGTCTATCGGTGTGGATGATCAAATTGATAAAAGCCAAGAAAAAATTACGTTATAGCACAAAAGTAAGCTAATTTGATCGTCTTCAATGATGCTATGGCTATTTCACTGTTCGAATCGAGCCGAACTACGCAGGTCGCCATTTTGTTTTGCCCGGAAGTTCTCGTAAGATCTACTCCTCCCCTCTCTCTCTCTCTGTCTCTTTCTGAATACTGTCTATCGGTGTGGACGATCAAATTGACCAAAACAAAGTTAAAAAATGATGTTAAAACACAAAAGTAAATTAATTTGGTCATTAATTTGGTCATCTACAAAGATGCTACGGCTAGATCTATATTTAACTTTTTGAATCAACCCGCGTAGTCGCCATTATGTTTTGCCCCGAAGTTCTCGTGCTGTACTCCTCTCTCTCTCTCTTTTTCTCTCTCTCTTTTTCTCTCTCTCTCTTTCTCTCTCTCTCTCCACTGCCCACAGACAAAATTGTACGCTTTTAGTAGGCTAACAGTAGTAATGGTACGTTTGTTCACGGCATAGAATTCTACAATTTTTCTGTTTTCACAGTGCATAATTCTGTGGTTTAGGGTGAACGCAAAATTGGTTGGCCTAGATCTAGGCTATAACGGTGAACGCACACCAGGTGAGAATAGCCAAAAGACTCGCCTGCGCTATTCTCACCCCGGGTGAGAATAGAGGGGACCGTGAGGATAAACTGGATATTATTGAAGTATTCTCCCGGGTGAGAATAAAATTGGGTGCTTTTTCGGAAGTTCCCACCCCCCTTATTTGAGCCTTGACCTAGATCTACATCTAGATCTATACGTTTGATGCGCCACAAGCTAAGATATCGAACCTATATAACTGCAAAGGAAGTGGCTATCCTCACCCGGGGTGAGAATAAAAATACGATCGACCTCTCACCCCGTGTGAGACTTGCCACCGTAGGCTATTCTCACTTGGTGTGAAACAAGACCTGTTTTTCCTAATTTCGGAGTACTTTCCATCGATATGGATGATCAAATGGATAAAGGCAAAGAAAAGATTACGTTATAGCACAAAAGTAAGCTAATTTGATCGACTACAAAGAGATGCTATGGCTATTTCACTTTTCGAATCGGGTCGCCATTTTGTTTTGCCCGGAAGTTCTTGCAAGATCTACTCCTCCCCTCTCTTCTCTCTGTCTCTTTCTGAATACTGTCTATCGGTGTGGATGATCAAATTGACCGAACAAAGTTTTAAAATGATGTTAAAACGCAAAAGTAAATTAATTTGGTCGTCTACAAAGATGCTACGGCTATTTAACTTTTCGAATCGAGCCGAACTACGCGGGTCGCCATTTTGTTTTGCCCGGAAGTTCTTGCAAGATCTACTCCTCCCCTCTCTTCTCTCTGTCTCTTTCTGAATACTGTCTATCGGTGTGGATGATCAAATTGACCGAACAAAGTTTTAAAATGATGTTAAAACGCAAAAGTAAATTAATTTGGTCGTCTACAAAGATGCTACGGCTATTTAACTTTTCGAATCGAGCCAAACTACGCGGGTCGCCATTTTGTTTTGCCCGAAAGTTCTTGCGCTACTCCTCTCTCTCTCTAGACTCTCTCTCTCTCTCCACTGCCCACAGACAGAATTGTACCATTTTTCTGTTATCACAGTGTAGAATTCTGTGGTTCAGGGTGAATGCAAAATTGGTTGGCCTAGGTCTAGGCTATAATGGTGAACGCACACCGGGTGAGAATAGTCAAAAGACTCGCTTGCGCTATTCTCACCCGGGGTGAGAATAGAGGTGGCCAACTGCAAAACATCGAATTATGGTGAAATTCAAGGGGGCATGCCCCCCTGAAACCCCCCACCATATTTATATAGGTCAGGGTGGCAAGCCCCCCTGAAACCCCTGTATTCTTGGGGCCAAAACCGGCGAATTACAATTGTGGGGTGGGAAAAACTACCGAAAAAGAGCCTTAGATTGATCACTATTCTCACGGATTGAGAATAAAGACAGCCTACTATTCTCACCCGGTCTTTTCGTTTCGAGCATAATAGGACCCCTTGTCACTGAACGCTCCAGGCGACAAAACTCTCCTCCCTCTCTCACTCCGCTGAGCGTGCAAGGCAACTAAAATCACCAACAGGCGAGCCAGCCCTTGACCGCGGGAGGCAACTATTGTCGATTTGGGGGAAAACCTTATCTTTTGAGCAAATAGCGTCACATTTTGTTGCTAATTATTGTTTCTGTATGGAAAATTTTACTCTTGAATGGTTTAACCTATCAAAATTAAGACAAAACTTAAGCCTAGAGAGAGTCAAGGCACTGCCTTAACCCTCTGCGTGCACATCACGACCATTTGTCGTGATGACTCGAATACCTCCCTTCCCTGGGTTCACGACCACCGGTCGTGATCCGACATGAGTGTAGAAACTATACCGCTGACATGAGAATAGCCATTTTTTAAACTGCTGGTGACTACAGTCCACCAGAGCTACGTTTATTAGTGCCGATGGCCGCGCATTTCGCAGTCGGGGATCGATTGGGAGTTTTTTTATCAGCAATTTTCTGGGATATTGTTTAGTTTTCAAAATGTCGGATTCGTCAGCTGATTTAGACACAGATTTATCCAACATTTTTCTGGAATCGGACCACAGTGATAAAGAGTTAAAAGGATGAGGTCCTCAAATAAAAGATTTAGATCAATGTGTGAATGATGGGGATATCGTGGCGTAGATCTAGATCTAACGAGGAAAGCCCAGAGGGGGACGTCGATATTCCTGCTTATCTCCAAGCAGGCTGGACCAAAAATGATGGGGATTTTGATACCAACAACAACAACATCATTAAAAAACACATCTGACCAGACATAAGAGTAGTTCATTATTTAAAACACATTTTTCCTTCTTACTGTAACTAGAAATTATGATAAATAAGAAAGATATGAGATGAGCTTTTTTTATAGTCATGTTGAAAATTAGCTTTTTTCTAAAATAAACCTACCACTGAAGGGAAGTAATGGTAAAAATGGCTTAGCGCTAAGAGGGTTAAAAATAATCGTGGGTTCTATTACGGATAACAATTTTATTAAACAAGTTTTTTTGTGTTGTAAACAAATGCCAATTGTAACATTACAATGACAAGCTATTACTAACATTATTTCAGTGAACAGCTTTCAGTTAAGGCTATTTTTTTTAAAAACATACTAGATCTACTCTTTCAAGTGAATTCCTTTCTGAACTTAAAATATGCGTATCTATGGTTTTGGTGAAGATATGCGTGCATACTCTCAAGATTTTAAAAAATGAAACAATAATCCCCATGGGAGCCTAGACCTAGAAAAATCGGCTAGCGCTCTTGGGCAGGTCACGAACGGTCACTCTTACTATTCACAAACTATTTTCTCTATCATCCTATTAGCCTACTTGTAGGCCTACCAGTTCTCAACACCCAGGTAGGCCTAAGAATAAAAATCCATTGCATTCTCAGACCAAGTGAGAATAATATATACAATATTATTCTCAGACCGGGTGAGAATAAAATGGATTATATTTTTATTTTCACCCCGGGTGAGAATAACGACAGCCGTCCTTTATACTTTATGTTTTTTCCTGGGAAAGGTCGGGGCGGAGTAAATCTGTCACCAATACGTCAAAACATATCGGTTGCCTCTCTGTGTGCTCACAAGCGGAAGCTAGAGAACGACAACTAAACGCCATTGGCCGATATTTATAGTAACAGCCATCTTGTTGGACGTCATTGAGGGATTCCCACTTTGTCAGTCATGGTGGCAACACGACCGCACGACGGCACCCTGCCCACTCGGATTATTTTCTTCAAAGTGACTAGAATCTCTAGATCTAGGCCTATTCGGACTCTTATCTAGTCTGATTAGACAAAAATTATATTCGGACTCTGAATTGGGTCCAGCATGACGTCTGTTGTTGGTTACTGTGTACTTCAACTTAAACGCTGCCATTGGGCAATGAGACTGCAGTCTTTTGTGAATTTTGACAGAATTACACAGTCCTAGTAGGTAATTCTAGTTCTAATTCTAGTTTTATGTGTAAAATCCTCCGACGACAGTTATATTAATGTAACCTCCTTACACTCACAATAACTCACTTAGAAGCAGAGTCCGAAAAAATAAAACATTTTTTTCTGACCCGAGTCCGAATAGATAAAACCCATATTTGGACAGGAGTCAGAATAGATAGTAATCTAATCGGACTCGAGTCGAATAGAGCTGGCATTTTCTTTGCAACTTGCAGAACTGTTCGGTTCGATTGTCTGATTGTGCAGCACCCTTCTTCTGCTCAGATTGATTCTGATCTGTACACTACATAAACTGAGAGGAAGAAGAAGACTAAGAGAAGGCCTACATACGAAAGCAAGGTCAAACAAAGTTCAAAGACGCAGTGCAAATGATCGACCGTTTCGATCCGGATTGTTTCTTTTAACTTTTAAAGTTTTGTAAGCACAAGAAATTAAGCACTCAGAAGAGCTTGGACTTAATAGCCTGACTCTGAGCTGCAAATGGACTAGATCTAATTCGAGACTGCAAAGTTTGCAAATGAATACTGTGAGGTGCAAAAGCAGTAGGGGGAACCACCAGGAAAGACTCGAATAGAGAAGTTTGGAAACGGCCAGTGCAAACCCCGCGCTACGCAAAATCATCACTATTTAGAATCGGGATCAGATGACACAGCGGGCATCCCCCTTGCGAGGTCAAACTAGCTGGCTGTTACTATAATATCAGCCAATGGCGTTTAGTTGTCGTTCTCTAGCTATCCGCTTGTCTGTATGCACCCTTAGGCAGGCAGGACTTTTGAAAATGAAGAAATCTAAAGCCAGCACTTCTGAGATTCCCAACTGGAGGTGGTCGCAGTCTCAAGACTGCCTTAAAGCTACTGGTAATTAATTTTTTTTTTTTTAATGGGAGGGGGGGAGGATAGGAAGGGTTTTGGATTTTTTCTTTGGTCTCTTTTCTTTTTTTAAGATTTTGTTGCTGATTTTGTCCAAGCCAACGGTAAAAATAAAACTTAAAAGTAAAACAAAGTAAAGTGTGTCAAACGAGGAGGACCGAGTGCCATGGTAAACAAACAAATGAATCGCCACCACTCTTCCAAAAAGGGACACTTCTGTCCCTAGTTCATGTTGACGTCCATTGACATTGTTTAACAGACTGGGAACAGAGATCGAGTGTCTGTTCATCTCATCGACTCTTATCTTATGGTTTATTTGTATGGGTTGTGGGCAGGCTTTGACAGATCACATGACTCCTTCATCAGCAGCTTAAATTGTTACTGATGGGTCAGCTTTGGTGAACAGTGGGATAGACCTATGCAACATGATCAGTTCATTCAGTATTTAGTGGAGAGACTTCAAAAGCGACAGGTGAATAGATTATAGTGGCAGTTCGTCCTCAGCGTCAGAGGACAAAGAGTTGGGCTACAAGAGATTTACAAATTACCTGGGCATCTTAGACAGGTTTTTTGGTTAACTTAAAGCAGTCAGTGCTCTGCTATTATTTAAAAAATGCAAGAGGGGTAAAAATGGAAAGTGGCCGTTTGAACAGGTTTGTATTATGCAGGTGGCCGTCATAGGGCAGGTTCAACTTTATTTTGTACTTCTGGCGAAAAGGAGTTCAGCAATGAGAGATGAATCCAAGTCAGAACTAAAAAATGCAACTTCTTAAAAAATAAGATGGTAAAGAGTTTAGAAGGCCAGCTAAGACATTCCTGCAGATATTCTTAAAGAGTGGTAGTCCCTTGAACTGTAGATTATGGCTCACTTTTATGGCTACTGTCTTTTGGTTGAATGATGGTCTTGTCAGGCTTATAACAAATCATGGTAATTTTTACAACCACCCCCTGACCCAGAAGACTCCTTTTACTTAGTTTTAGTATATTGGGGCGCAACAAAATATCTTTGGCTGCTGAACACAGATATGGCCACAAAGACCAATTGTTTTCAAAAAATCAGGGGGGCGGGGGGACCCACAACCAACACACACGATTGGCGTTTACAAATTGTTAATGACAACAGAAAAGGGAAAATGGAACTATGATACTATCACATGATGTATATGTTACCATTTTTCTCTCAATATCAATTGCTTTGAAGCAACCATATACTAAACCACATGTTTTTGCTGTTTTGCAGAATATTCTTGAGACGTCTTTGGAATCTAAAAATGCTGAGAACTTATTATCCTTTGTGGAGTCTTATCAAGATGATGAGTAAGTTAACAGCATTAGCAGATGCCGTGTTTTGCTTATTCCACTTTCACACATCTGGGTTTATTCTGTTCTACCACTGTATTTGTTGAGGGCCATGAAATCATGTTCAGGGGTTGTAGGGGGGGGGGGGGATTGCTGTAGACTTGGCCCAATACCTTCAATATTTATGGTATCATAACTGCTCATCATTTCAGTTCAGTAACACTGACACTGCATCTTAAACCTTGCTGTATTTACCGCAATAATAACCTTTTGTGTACATTTGACAGCATTCATTATGTCTGAGAGTTTAAGTGAATTGTTGTCCCTTTGTTATCACTGTTTCATAGGAGCGTGGAAAAGAGAACTGTCTTGGATCAAGTCTTCCGGGACATTCTTTGCAGGTTGATAGTAAGTTGTTCTCGTATCTGTTTTGCTGTATGTGGAAAATCTGAATAAGTTTTTGCTCTTAGTGACTTCTTTTGTATGTTGTTCTTTTAATGAATAGTCAGCATCCTTTAGAAAACTAAAGCTAACATTTGAAAAAGCAAAATGTTTTTGACATAGCAAGATTTTTTTATACATAAAGTAGGGACAAATTGTAAATTAGGAAAATATCAATCTTTTCATTTAATTACATTCAGTGCTTTAATTGTTGCAGATTCACTATGTATTTTGCATTAGCAACAGTATTTCCTGTCTGATTAAATTGTCTTCCCTTCTTAGTTCTCTGAGTCAGTTTGTCTTAGCTCTCATCTCATGTATGTCCTCACAAAATCTTTGTGATGGGCGGCTGTGTGGTAATTTGTTTACGGTATAAAACTCTTGTGATTATTTTTTTCTAATATACTTCTTTGTTATTTAGAGAACGGACTCTGACAGTGGAGACTTGAAAACTGTCATCACGTTTGCAGTGCAGGCTGTCAGGCATGGTGAGTTCTTTGTAATATGGAATTGGTGAAATGGGTCTTTGTAGAAGGATATGGGTGGGTGGTTGGCGGGTGCTCTGGTGTGGTTTGCTTCTTCTTTCCTATCAAACATCTGTCGTCCTTATCTCTCCTTCTTTTTTATGTTTGTTACTCTCTTGTAACACCTCTAATCTTCAGCACTTATATGACCTTATTGTTTTGCAAGTGCCGTAAAACACTTACTAAAACTAAATGATAATTTTGAGGTTACTGTTGATGTTTTAAAATCTTTTTGTGTATTGTTAGGTCTGCATCTTACAATGTATGCACATTTTTTTTTCACCAATTAAAAAAATTTTTTTTAAAGGCTCAAGTGAACAGGTGTGGTGCTCGGAGTCATTTCTGGTGTAGGCAGGCATGGTTGGAGGATGATTTGTCGATCTTTGCTGAAATTTTTCACACCCATGATCTTAGGCTTGATTGTCCCGAATACATAGTCTTCTTTGATAGAACAAGAAGCATCTAAGTCATTGAAAGTGATAGTAACATAGGCCTGTTAAGGTCAGCTTCCGGGGCAAAGCTTAAATTAGTAATCCCATCCCAAATGTAGTGTGAATTAATAAGTGAATGTTCAAATATATCGTAAATGTTTGAAAGGGATGGGAAGAAGGAAATAAACTGTATAATGTGTGACCTCCCTAACTTGATTTCAGACAGTTTTGTAATATGCTGAGGGAGAAAACCAGTGCTGGTATACAAATATGAAAATAAAACTGAAAATCATATGTGCTTGTAACAGGTTTATGACTTTAAAAACAAATTGCAGATAAGAGAAATATAGATCAAACTTGTATGACACTTATGCGATTGAACCAAGCATGCTTGCAAACCAGCCAAGTATTCTTATAACAGAGGAGCTCCCTGATTTCCCGTTGGTTGTTGAAGAACCTCATTTGGATTTGCATAGACACCAATTTTTATCTTGATTTCCATTTTTGTCAGATCGAATGCAGCCTATTGCTGATGACGTGAAAATACTCATATATTTATGTGTGTTCATTTGCAATATTTGTACGACTGATCAACACTGACAAGAAAAAATGTTGATATTTGCAACACACGTCTATTTGCCATGGTCAGTTTGCTGTGTATCTTAATCTTCTGGGGTTGTGGAGACTGATTTTTTTCCCTAAACTCTTTTTCTTTAGGATTTAAAGGAAAACTCATATTTGTGACCGTGGAGTGGTTGGCAGGACTGCGCATGATTTATTGTGGAGACTTACCTCAGGGTTGGGGAAAAGTTGGGTCTACCTATTACGACAAACCTCTGGTAGTGTGCAGATTTGATAGTTGAAAAAGTTATCTGCTCAAATTATTTTAATATCTTTTCAGATTTGCAGATAATTTTCCTTTACAATTGACTGCAATATCTGGTTGGAACATACATGAAGTGTACAATCAAGTTTGTATGTTTTTTTACACAGAATACAGTCAAGTGCATTTCAGATATGGTCTGTTGAATGCTTTACGTGCATATTTTGTTTCAGATATGTGCTCACCTTCCACGCCTTTCCTGATGATGGCGGACATCTTTGATATGTTGACCTTGGAGCGCTGTGAAGACATCTTTGACCTTGTGGAGGACAAAGTTACAGTTTGGAAATCGGTAGGTTTTGTATACCAGCATTGATTTGGTGTAAGTTTTTAGAGTCTGCCACTGTGGCATATTTTTATTTCAATTCTGATCAGCAAGTGGTAGATCTTGGTTAGAACTGAAGAACGTAAAAAAAAATTTTTACAAGGAAAAAAATTCCTTGTGGCTTGATTTCTTGTCTCGGAGCAAAGTGGTCTTCCTTAAAAATGAAGTGGGGCATAAAATTTAGTTTTTAGAAACTGATTTAGAATTTATGAGAGTTTAATGAGGCCTGCTCAATATTTTTTTTGTTTCTTTGACATATGCTTTATTATTGCCTGTGGGTAACTTTATTTTGGTTTGTAGTTTAGGGGATACTGATTATGATCTATAGGAGTTTAGATGAACTGACTGTCGTCAATGGTCTCTCCTCCCCCCTGCTCCAACCTCTAAGTTTGTTGCAAAATGAGATTATTATAATATCACTTTGGTCTGTAAACTTTTACTGAGTTATTCAGCAGCTGATTGTTTTAAGTCGACTTTGATGTTACGAATGTTTGAAATATGGTTGGTAGTTGAGCTTTATACTTTTGTTGATGAATGTACAGCCTTACATTTTGTTTGTTCACAGGATCCTTTTTACGAATCAGGGAAAAATTATCTCCTGAGGATGTGTAATGGTAAGTTATTGTACATTTCTAATTTAGTCTCTGTAAAGAAACTAAATTTCCCTTGATTTTCCTGTCAAAGAATAAACAGCTGTACTTTCTCTTCTCTCTTTCTTTTTAATATTTAAAAGATATTATGATAACTGTCAGTTTCAATTCACTCCCTTCCATGCAAAACATAATGTGTTTCAAAATCTGATTCCTTTTGAAGGCACACCACATAGTGCATCAAATGCTTTATTTTGTTTGAAGGGAATATATTCTAAAATAACTCTTTTATTTTATCAAAACTTTTGTCAGTCTTGGGTAAGTATTGCCTTGATTTTCATGGGTTTAACCATTTTTTGAATTTTGAAATTGTCAGGGAAGTGTAAAAATGACACTTAAGTTTTTGTTTACATTCCCTCAAAATGAGATGTAAGGTTTACCACTGCACTATCTCCGGCCGCTAGTTCTTGACTGATTTGAACAATATATTGTTTCACAGGTAAAGCAAGATTTACTTGAGAGCTTGCCATTGACATTAGCAATAATGGACCTTTCCTTTTTTCTTTTGTTGTTCATTGAAAGCCCATCTTTGTTGGCAATGTATGTTGAATTTGCTGTTTTGATTTTTTTAACAATGTTTTTCTTTTCTTGGTTAACCCGTTCGAAAAACAATTTCAGATCTTATAAGAAGACTCTCCAAGTCTCAAAACACTGTGTTTTGCGGAAGAATACAACTGTTCTTGTCCAGACTTTTCCCACTGTCTGAAAAATCAGGTAGGGGCTTTTATGTACTTGCAATACAATCTGATATGTTTTGTTCTGTGAATTTTATTGGTTGGAAGATGGAAATGTACATTTTTCTCCTGTTTCCCAGATTTTTGAAATTTTAAATGATCTTGAAATTTTGCTTTCTGAAGTCCCCTTATTTTACATAAAATCATGATAGAAGTCTTCATGACTTCACTCTGATCACGTAAATAACATTTAAAAAGTGACATTGCCTACTTTCAATTTTTGATACTTGTTTCTTTTTCTAGAATAACAGCAGCTTGAAAAATAAATGTAGTGCCTTAACACTTTGCTGCCTCATCTCGCAGACTGGCGATGTTTACCACCCAGTTTCTTTGGATTTTCCCCAAAATATGATGGCAAAGTGTTAAAAAAAAAGATTACAAGTGTATATATATTTGGAAGGATTGTTGTACGTTGAATGGGCCATTAAGCGTGAAACCTGTCATTGTGTGAGCTGTTGAATTTGAAGTAAAAATTTTGTTTGATCATGAAGTGACTGGAGCCACCGGGGAGTGGGCGCTGTAGGAGAAATCTTTATTATCATCATTATTATTATTATTGTTAAGCTGTCGTATCTCCCTTGATCATTATACTGTTTCTTTTAAAACTCTGGTCTTTTTCGTTTTCATTCTCAGCTTTGAACCTTGCCAGTCAGTTTAACCTGGACAATGTCACAGTGTATGCAAGGCAGGGCCAGACTGAGGAGGTGTGAATATTTTAAGATAAGATAAGATTAATCTTAATTGTCCAGACACTGGCACATTGGTTTGGTGTTTCGCCACACACACAAATGTACACTCAAATGTGCATGCGTATACATGCCTGCTCGCTTTTATGCTTGCATGCACGCACACGTGCGCACGCACACACACACACACACACACACACACACACACACACACACACACACACACACGTTATATATATATACCAAAAAAAATAATATGCTCATCATCACAAATAGACCCACAGTCGTACCCATATGAAATAAATGAACAGTTTATAGTTGACATTTTTGTGCAATTGTTTTGGAAGTATATTGAAATATACAGGATGGTTTCAGTTTTTACATAGTCCCACAAATCTTCAAATCTTGTCCTTTTGATCCTATGTCTTGGTCCGATTTGGCTCTACATTTCTGGTGAAAGGTACTTGTTTGTAACTTTTATGCCGATTTATAATAGAACATTTGCATTTTGATTCAGTTCGCAATCTTTCAAGTTGAAAGTGCAAAGTCTAAATATCTGGGTTGTTTTCTTTTAGTTCCTTCCCGGAGGCCCATGTATGACTCAATGTTTATCAGTATGGAACAACAAATTTTCTCATTTGTTATCTTTAAATACGAATCCTGTATTTCACAAGGAAAATGAATGCTTAAATTTTAATGATAATGGCTTGTTGATAGTTGCAGTTGTCATTTAGGCAATGATTTATTTTGTGGCTTAAAGTATTTATGTGTAACTGGGAGCTGTGGGGTGTAAAGTATTTCTGTTTTGTGCAGAAGCGAAAAAGAAGGGTCTGAACATACCTAGAGCTGCAAAGTGGAGCAGGTGGTGGTCCGTTGACTTTTGTAATGTAGCTTGCCACAAAACCAACACAAAAAGGGAAGCTGTGGGTGTATTTAACTTATAAACTGTTTCAGTTGTGTGTGCTGTGTTTTTGGGCAAAGCAAAAAGTAAGGCTTTTATAACTAACATCTTCCACTGCTCATCTCTCTTTATTTCTTTTGGAGCAACGGTGCCGACTGCTTCTTCTACTTCTTTTCTGTGTTTCTGCTGTCCTTATCTGTCTCTGATGAAATAATGTTGTATGATTGTACAAACGCTTCCTTTGTGTGTATCATCATGTTGTCTCTTTTCCATTGTTCCATGCCAATATCGATGTGAAAGTACTTTTGTGCTTCTCAATGAGAAAGGCTTTTATTTGTGTGACTTTTTGCTCTTTTACAGACAAATGGAGAGACGAAAGCGAAACCGATGGACGTAGATGAACCCACTACTCTGTCGAAGTATGAATTACTTGTGATGTCATACTATTTCTAGAGTTTTATTTTGGATCCTCAATGTAATCATACAGTAATCGTGTATAAGAAAGCATGGGGAAATTCTCAGCTGACTGTATCTCATCTTTTGTGTTCATCCAAAACAACTCCTTGCACTGTGCAGAAGTCAAACTCTTGGGATTTTTTTCTTAGCTCATTTCATGACATGAATAATAATTTTTTTTTCTCGGGAAAAGTTTCTCCTAAATACTAGATTAAGTGGTTGCTATATTGTTAATGCCCAAGGTAATGAAAAAAAAAGCTTTCTTTTTCTTTCAGGATAGATTTTGTGTTGCTGCTGAGATTTTTAACATTGACATTACACCATGTTCTCCACATGTTGTCTTTCAGTTCCATTCCTATTGACTATCACCTGTATCGAAAGTTTTGGGCTCTGCAAGACTTTTTTCGTCGGCCAAACCAATGTTACGACAAAACATCGTGGCTGACATTTGCACAGGTGAGCAAACCATTCTTGATGTATCTTTTAATTTGACTCCTGATGGACATGTTGATTATTTGAGCTCATTTGGAGTTAACATTTAGGTATTTCAGCTGAAAAAAAAGATGAAAATGTATTGACAACTCTGTGTGGTTTGTGAAGAATTCTTTTGTGAGTTTTTTAATTCAAATTGTTAAAAAGAAGGTTTTGAATGAAGATATTGATTTATGAAGAACTTTATTTGTAAATACTAGAGAATCTCGTACTTTCTGGGTATACCTTTTTTTAATTTCTCGCATGTGGAAAGTTGCCAAATAATAATAAACGTTAAAAGTAATTACCCTTTTGTTAAGTAGTGTCTGTTACATCTTTCTTCCTTTAAAATGCTTTTTTCTCCACACCAAATGACACTGTTACTGTTGCGTTGCAGCTCTTCCGTTTGACTCTGGTAAGCAGAGCAACTCTCTTTTTACTTTGGCTTTTACTCTTTCTCTTTCCCTTTTTTCTTGCTAAAACAATTATAGAGAAACATTGTGTTTAACAAAGTGACCATTTTTGAACCTCAGTGCAACTATTTTTCTTTGTCTCTGCAGTATGCCGGTGATGTGATGTCTGTCTTCTCCACCTTCAAACTTGATGACCTATCCTCCAGCCGCAAAAAAGTCCTCACCCAGCAGCAGAGTCACCAAGAAGTACAGAACTTCTTTGCCAAATACCTCACCAGTGAAAAGGTCTGTGGAGGGACATACTTTCCTGATTTGTTAACATGTTATATTCTCACTTTGTATATGCTTTAAATTAGATGGCTTCCTAGCTTTTGAGTTCTTGTTGGCACCGGTATTAAACGGGCTAATGCTGTGTGATCATTTCTTAAGTTTGTGAGAAAGGTGAGCCCACATATTCGTTAGGCCTTACTTTGCTCTCTGAAGACTGAAGTTTATTCTTAGATGGGAAAGATAGCGCTGACTGTGTTTGTCTTTGCCTTTGGAATATTGTTAACCACACAGTCCAGGTAGCCCACATCCTAAATGATCTAAGTTGAGGTGATGGGTACTTCATACGTTCACAATCGTTTTAGGAGAGTTGAGTTTTTGTTCGCTCTATATGACTATTTTTGCACTGCTAGTTTCTCCTCATGTGTATGTTGCCCATATAGCTTTCTAATCACAGTTTGGTCAGGCTCCTGAAATAATGTTAGGTTTATTTTGTTTCTTGATTCACCCATATTTGTCAACTCTGTCATTTCAGCTGCTGAACTTACAGTTAAACGACAGTAACTTCCGGCGATATGTTCTGGTGCAGTTCCTCATCATTTTCTATTACCTGAAGGCTTCTGTGAAGTTCAAAACGTGAGTGGAAAATGTCTACATTTTGATAAGGACATTGTATCCCTTCGAAAGGCACCTTAACGTGTTTTCCTTTTTTCATACAGTTCACCCAGCTGTTTTGGTCTTACTTCGCTGGGGAGGAGGGCAGGGGGGAGGGGGATACTTAAGTGATGGGATTATGTTTCTAATAGATTGCTTTGCTATGAGTTCCTTGAGGGAGATTGGTGCTAAATTGGTATGTACAGGTCAGCCAAAGGAAGGAGTTCTTGTGAAGTCACATGAGCATTCTTGTGGTAGAGGATGCAAGATGATTAGATATCTCTGTGCCACATCTCCTGACGGTAATTTTGATGCTTTTTACCCTTTGATAAAAGCTGCGACAAAAAGCTACATTCCCATCTTGTAGGCACACTTAACCTTTGCTGATGAGTATCTGACAAAGGAAAGCCATGAAGGTTCATGGCTTTGTTTGTTTGTTTGTTTGTTTAGTATAGGGTTTTACAGCGCTCGCAACTGCATAAGGTCATATGAGCGCGCGGGACACACCTAATACTTTTTCGTTGGTAGGAAATTTTGAATTTTGCCCGGGAGGCGGCCGAAGCCTACTCTTATCGATTTTAGACCACCAAGGGATCTTTAACGTGCGCAACTTGCACACGGGCCCTCCGAGATTTTTCGCCCTTGTCCGAGAAGGCTAGGTGTAGATCTTTCCTACCAGAAGATCAGGGGTGTGGCAGAAAGACAGCAGTTAGGAGGAGCCAAGGAGTAGCAGTAGAAAGGCTGCAGAAAGAGTCAGGAGCCCAGAGGAGGGGGCAAAGGCGGTGAGGGGTGGGGGCAGAAAGTGGAAATGAAAGCAGACAACAGAACATTGTTAGAGATCAGGAAAGGATGTGAAAGGAGACAATTTTAGAGAAGAAAATTTTTTGGTCGGTACCCGGAATCGAACCCGGGACCTTTGAATGAGAGGCCAACACCTTAACCTCTAGGCCACGAGAGCCCCCATATGGCTTTGTTTGCCAACGGGAAGCTCCTGCGTTCCTAAGCGGCTGGACTTGGACTTTGTCGAGCCAAAAACTGACCCATAGATTTGTTGAAGCACATGGGAGGCTCTTTCTTTTAACTCTTAATGTTCCAATTTTTTGTTTGTTTATCGAATGTCCTGGTTCCCAAATGTTGTGAATCTGAGAATATCAGTTACTATCCTCCCTTGTTGAAGTGAATCTTTTCAAACAAAACTATTACCACTAACAATGATAACCAAGAATAGTAAAGCGTTTGTACTTCCAATACCTCACCATGTTGATTGTAGTTTGTATATGTTCTCCTGACAACATACAAATTTGATGTATGGTAGCATAAATGGAATGATAATGGCACATATGAGCAGAAAAGAGTAAAATGGGAAACTGTGTGTGGGAAGATTTTATTGTCTTTGTTTGTTCATGTGGCAGGCAAGCTCACACCCTGACAGAGGAGCAGTCCGAGTGGATCAAAGAGTCTCAGGAAAAGATCATCAAGCTGCTGTGTGAGACACCACCCCATGGGGAACAGTTCTGTAACTCTGTCAAGGTATGGGGTTCTTCACATTTTGTTTATAACACATGTTGTTGGGAAAAGGCCACAAATGTTTTGTCAGTTCTAATATAGGCTGAAGTAGCTATAATTAGTTAATTAGTTTGTTCTATGGGCTTGGTGAGGAATGCAGATCATGGAGAAAAAGAACATTTGGCCATGGTGATTCATAGAATGGAGGCTTTGTCATGTGACCATTATTTATTTGAAGGCAATTGTGGTGACGTGCATCTTGTAGCCAGGTTTTTTTTAAGGGTGTGCAAATCTATGCAGTTGTGCCAAATTTACAATGGTATAGTTATGTAATTACTATCTACTTTGTTCATGTTTGTGTGATGGTTTATATGTTTGCAGCACATCCTGGACAGAGAAGAGCACTGGAATACTTGGAAAAATGAGAGCTGCCCGAGCTTCATCAAAGACAAGGGCAAGGATCAGGGAAAGTCAAAGGCAAAGTGAGTAGCGGGTGGTCAGTACTTGGATGTAAGATCAACACTTCTATTTTCTTTGTGTGGAATCCAGACTGGTAGGTTCAACAACTTCAGTTCTTTCCCTATATTTTTCCTGTCAGTCTGTCTGTCTTGCTTGAGATAAGATAAGATAAACTTTATTGATCCACAAGGAAACATTTGGGTGGATATACCAGAACATCAATGTACAAAGATTTAGCATCAGCACAGAGATGCACGCAGTACTTTCATGTTCAATGATACATGTATAACGATGGCCTAAAATGACTTGTTTGTATGTTGATGTGCTTCTCTTTATTTAAACAAATAATAACCAAGCCCCTTTCTCTCTCTCTCCCTATAGAGCCAAACGGCGACGTATTGGTGATGACTTGATGGCCACTGGAGGCAAGTCGCTGAAACTGGGAGCACCTGAGCTGACTCGTCTTTGGAATCTGAACCCAGATAACATGGAGGCGTGCAAGGCGGACTCGCGTGTCTTCCTGCCCAAGTTGGATGACTTTTTCTCCAACTCCATAGAGCAGGCAGACCCTGAGGCCATGGTGGAGGAACAGTACAAGTAAGTTGTGCTTTTTCTTAGGATCTTCACCATCCACACGAAAGACTTGAGTTTGGTTTCTATCTTTATGAGCGTCAGTCTTTCTTCTGAGATGCTGTATCCCTTTCAGCTCGGGATGGCGTTGAAAAGTAAGTTGTAAGCTGTTTGCCTCCTAATGATCTAAATTGTCCTGATGGGGAATTAAAACCTTATACAATCAGACTCATAGCGGAGTATTGTCATGATTTTTTAAAAAACCTTTTGAACCCCGACTCCCTGGGGCTACCATGCCCCTCTTCCTGAGCTGATCGATTCATGCCTATATTGCTCACATTCATATCATTGGCAGAAACACATTCCATATCCCACTCTGGGTAGTCATTGTCATTACCAGCATTTGATTTCGAAAGATCTTCAAAATAATCTGTAACATCCTGTGTGGTAAACACTGTTTTCCATGTGCATTTTGTCCCAGACGGGCCAGGTTGGGGATGGGATCTCACTCACTGGTGTACCGATGGCTAAGCGTACTGACAATTTTACGTTCCACCACGCCACAACTGGTGGTTGGGGCACAAAGGGTTAAGAGACTCTTGATTTCTGTAGTGTCTCTGGCAATTATTCTGAAGGTTTTTATTTCTAATAGCTGAAGTCCTTGCCTGTGGTTGCCCCTAACATGTTGAGGATTTTTGTTTAAGAACTACTGTGCTTGGTTTTGGGAAATGTGACAAAACAAATATTCCCTGGTGTGGTCTGCTCCGGCAGCTTTTTAGTCTTGCTGTAGTCCTTATCTGTTTTCTGATGAAAGAAGTTGTATATAAAGACATTTTGGCTGGATTTCAGCTCAAATTGAAATTTAAAATTAAAAGTGTAGTATTTTGAAATGAGATAACTTTTTCACAAGCAATATTTGAGTACTAAGATATTAAGATATTATATTGGATGGCACATTTCAAGGAATGTAAATCTTCTCTGCATGCTGAGGGGGGGGGGGGGGGGGGGGTTTTTGTTCCTCGGGAAAGAATGGTCATAGTTAACAAATGACTTTGGGTTTTTTTAAAATTCTTCCTGTACATTTGTTGGCGTTGGTGTGACTACTTTTGTTGATGTATTTTCCTGTTTGTCTGCAGAGACATCAACCAGCACAACTTCCAGTGGAAGGCGTTCCGTCTACTGGCCCGTGCGTCACCGCACTTCTTTGTACACACCAACACACCAGGCCTGCAGCTTACCGTCTACCTCAAGGACATTGTGGACAAAATGGCCAAGAAGTTACACCCTGTGAGTGTCAAGAAAAGTTTGTGATCAGACATTTGGTACATGCTTTTTTATGTCCAGACAGTGAATTATGGTTTAGTCTGAAAATTGTCTTCTTTGCAGTTTGTTTGTGTAAAATAACCAACAGAAAGTGTTCACAGGCAGTTCTTTAACACTTTGTCATCATATTTTGGGGAAAATCCAAAGAAACTGGGTGGTAAACATCGCCAATCGGCGAGATGAGGCGGCAAAGTGTTAAGAGCTGCATTTAGCTTTGGTGTGGTTTGCACGTCTTGTCTTGTGTGTTTGTTTAATGGATGAGTGGTTGGACTGAGGTCATTTGTGGGGCCAATGAAGATTCAACTTGTCCAAATTTTGAATGGCTAGAACATTTTTCCCTATATATGGTTGCCTGTTTCAGAACTGGGGAAAAGCGAAGAATGATGTGTCAGTTGCTGATGACGAGGACAACATCAAAGAGAACAACGGTGTTGACAATGATGAAGATGACTTGGGCAATGGAGATGATCAAGGTATTTGTCTAAATCTCCTTCCCTCCTTTCAAAGAACAGAGAACTTTTTGGAGAGCTGATTTGTTTCTTTATTGATAGAATTTTCTGAAGTAATGACACGGATATAAAAACATTTTGTTTATGTTTTGAGCTTACCTACATATGGGTCACACAATGAAAGACACATTGCTATGTGTACTTTATTGATGGAATTATTAGAAAGACTGAGCTGCAAATACACTAATTTTTAGCTTTTGTTAGTAAGGCAGACAAAGCCTTTTCAACCCAGGGAGAAGTGCTCCTAGATATGGTGCTACGACTTCTTCCATAAAAATATTGCCTGGAAAAACAAATGGAGACTATAGTAATTTTATAATCTCAAAATCCAACTCAAAGATCATCAAAAGTTATCCCTTAAAAAAACACCAACATTTAAAAAAAAAATGGAAGGCCTATAGTGACTGGCATAATTACAACTCTGCTCAGCGTTTCCAAGCTTATAGCAACTATTGTTAAAAATAACTTAAAAGCTACTCTGGATCTCACTGTTCCTATTAAAGATCAAAATGTATAAAGAAAAGAAGGCACTGGTGTATCGGTAAATATGATGGGAAAGAGTTAATTACTCAATGTGAGTCTGAAAATGGGATAATAAATCATCTTGCAGATGAGGCGAGTGCGTCAGGCCAGCTGAGCAAAGAGCAGATCCAGTCGGTGGCGGACCAGCTGGGCAGCAAGTGGACGCAGCTTGGGGAGAAGCTCGGGGTGCCCACTGATGACTTGGCCTACTTCAAGGAGTCCTTCCCTGAGCCTGGTGAGGCTGCTGCGTCCATGATCACAGTGTGGCAGGTGAGAGGATTGTGTTTTAGTTGTAGTAAAAGTTTTACGGCACTTGTGACACAAATAGGTCATTGTTCATTGCATCAAGAAGCAACATCCTTGCATTCCGGACATGTTCATTGATGCTCCTTTGCTCTCTCCAAAATAGGTCATATAAGTGCTAAAGATTAGAGGTGTTACTGTGGGCTCTCGTGGCCTAGAGGTTAAGGTGTTCGCCTCTCATTCAAAGGTCCCGGGTTGCGACGGAAAATTTTTCTTCTCTAAAATTGTCTCCTTTCACCTTGTTTCCTTCTCTCTTGCAATATTCTGTCATCTGCTTTCATCTCCACTCTCTTCCCCCACCCCCTCACCTGCTTTGCCCCCTCCACTGGGCTCCTGACTCTTTCTGCAGCCTTTCTACTGCTACTCCTTGGCTCCTTCTTACTGTTGTCTTTCAGCCATACCCCTGAACTTCTGGTAGAAAAGATCTACACCTAGCCTTCTTGGACAAGGGCGAAAAATCTCGGAGGTCCCGTGTGCAAGTTGCGCTCATTAAAGATCCCTTGGTGGTCCAAAATGGATAAGAGTAGGCTTCGGTTGTCACCCGGGCAAAATTCAAAATTTCCTACCATTAAAAATGTTTGGTGTGTCATATGTTCATATGACCTTATGCAGTTGCGAGCGCTGTAAAACACTTACCCCCCCCCCCCAAAAAAAGGGTGTTACTAGAGTAACATACACAGAAATGAATGAGGAGAGATAAAGACGATAGATCTTTGATAGGAAAGAAGGAGCAAACCATACCAGTGCACCCGCCACCCTCAGAACTGCACTTGTGTTTGTTCCTCTCTGTCACATTCTGTAGTAGGCCTCCCATCGATACGGTCGGACTGTAGGGGAAAGAGGAATACGTTGTGTTGGTTTTGACTTTCTCTTTGGACTAAAAGTTATGTTGAACAAATTGACCATTTACTTTCTTTTCACATATTGTCCTTTAGAGCTCACTGTAGCCTTGACCTGTTGAAATCTTATTGCATACTGCATCAAGTATGACCTCAAGTGCATTTTCCAAGAGTTTTTTGATAAAGCTTGACCTCTGGAATTTAGTAATTTTGAATTACTAAGGGGCAGGTGGTGAAATATCAGCAAATATCGATTTATGATTTTGCTGTCATCTGAATGAAGCCATGTGAAAATCCTCAAATTCACAAGTGAAAACATTTCTTACAAGTCTACTCGGTAAGTAATGCTCTTCAAAATGTCTAGCTCTTTGGCCTGCAATTAAATTTAAAAAAAATTTAATACCTATTTAGTTGTCAAATACAGACGAACCTGCCCTGACGGCCACCTTTATAAGACGGCCACCTGTACAAACGGCCACTTTCCATTCTCCCCTTGCGTTTTTTCTATATAATTTAACTGTGTAAAACGAGCACCTGTCCATCGCGGCCGCAGCCACCATATTTTAACACACAACCTCTATCACACCAAGTAATAACACTTGTTGAAAGCAAATGCGTACTAAATGGTTTTTTTTGTTTTTTTTTTTCTTGGAATAATTGTTAAAGGCGAAAATTAAAGTTATGCATGTTTCCTTTTTTTTCTGTCTTTCCAGGAAGAGGACCCAGATCGCGATTCTAGATCTTTGCTGTCGGAGTCTCTGCGAGAACTTGGGCATAATGGAATTGCAGATTCCTTGAGCTGATGATGTCAAGCATTTCCTTTTATCACTACCTTTCACCAATGAAGTTGTATCATTAATAAGTCACTGCATTAAATGGCTCTTTTGAGAAGTTTGATAGAAGCTGTTTTCAGATTTGATGTATTAAATGCTTAGAAGGTGATGCGCGAAATAGTGGAGCGGGTGACCAGAGGGTCCTTTTTTTAACTTGAGTTGTTTGGGAACCACTAAGCTTTGTCCTTGTAAAGGTATACGAAAAAATCTGAGATCCTACCTGTTAAATAACTTATGGTGTTGAATTTGTCATTGAATCTGTACCCTGCTAGATAAATGAAAATGTTTGTTGATTTTACTGATCCAGGTTGTTGTTTTTGTTATTGATCGAGAAACAATTGTTTAAAGTCTTGTTTATTTTCTGGTTCAGGGCTCTCTCAGCCGACTTTTAATTTCATTCCAATTTTCTCGTAGGTGCCACGTGTCTGTTAGTGTTGGTTACTAAAATTCTTATCTCTGTCTCTTTTGATTGTCCAGATGATAATAATAATAGATAGCATTGGTATAGTGCAAATTCCTGCTCAACAGCAAGCTCTATGCGCGTTACAATCTATATTCTACTATTACCTCAGCAGACCTGATAGCATTCTGAAACACTTTCAACTTCCTTAGAAATGTACAGTGCCATTTTACAGATGCTAAAACACTAACATACTGACAAGATTGTAATGTTTGTAAAGCTAAAAAGTTTTTTTTAAGGAACATAGTCCAAGAGTAGTGGTCCTTGAATACCTTGCTAAAAGTGGATATTTATTTCTGGTCAAATTGGAAATGACATGCTGAAGTTTTGTGCAGTTCTGTACGATAACTTTTTCGTAATTTTAAAAACAAATTGTGATGGCTTTCACTGTGTTGTTAGATGTTTGCAAGGGGAATAGATTTGAAATGTTTTTGTGCAAATTATTGACCTATCATTCCTATCGTGAGCCATTGTGCAATGTTGCATTCATTGTCACAGCGTGATTGAAATATTGGAAATGGACAATAAATGTTGTCTATACACATTCTCAGTTGATTGTTTTCTATTTTTTCATTTCTAGCCTTTTGGGGGTTTTTTTGGTGTAAAATTTGTTGTTGTGCAAGATTGGTAATCACCGTGGTGACATTTACTTGTACATTTTTTTTCAGTGGTGGTTGCCTTTTCAGCCATCTATGTCAGTTTTGCAGAATCTGTTGTTTCGGCTTGATAAAACTTTAATGGAGCTGTTCCTGTAGTTTGTGTCTTTGTTGTCATGTATCAAAGTGGAGGCAGAAATCTTTTATCTTACTTTATGTGTACCTGGCCTGAGACACCTCTGTTAACAATTAACGATTAACAATTTAGATTTTTACATTTGATCCTGGTCTCCCAAACACTTTGCTTACTTTTTGGGACTCGTTTCAACTGTGTTCATGACAAGGAATATAGAGCAGGAAGCAAAAGGTTTAATCAGGAGATGATAACTGGGCTAAAAATTTTCAAACTAAATGTTCAATAGTTCCTCTTTGTTACTGCAGAAATGATTCCATGAGTATGTTGTAATTTTGGCTCAGCAGAAAGCACCACACTCTTTCTCAACTGAATAGGTACAATCTTGATCCAAACATTTAAGAAGTGGGTGCTTATTGGGCACCTGGTAGATAGGTCCTTTTCTTTTCCTCTGGTTCTTTTCTCTTCCTCTGTCCCTGTCGTTTCTGCCTGTCTATCTTGCCTAGATGACTGTTATTGTGCTGATGTAGTAACCTTTTCTCTACTAAACAAAACAAAAACTGAAGAGTTATGGAGGTAAAATGGTCAAAGACAATTAAAAATGAACAAAAAAGTCAATTCTAGTTTGCGATATAAAGGACAATTTTTAAATTTCAATATAATTATACATCCATCCTTTTAAATGACATCATAAATTACAGAAGTGTAAAAACAATGGTATCATTCTATTACAAAGACTAAGATATTTTCAAGTCTCTATCATGCTGAGGGTGGAACAAGTTGGATAGAAAATGTTTATATGATAAGTAAATAGATACAGAACAAAAGACTGAGGATCTAACTTGTAGTAAGATATATAGGAGAACATAGTCACCTCATCAAGCTTTTAAACCTTCTTCAAACCAAGAACAAAAAGTCTCCATGTCAAAAGGAAACCAGAAAGTCGAGTCACTGTCGGAAAAGACGCACACGCTTATTTATAGTTCTCCATCCATTTTCAAAGAATTAATTCAATAAGCTTGAAGCTTGCATAATTGTTAATTTCGGGAAGAGTAAAATACTCATACAGTTCTCTTTACTTGATTATTGTGATTGTAGTCTATGAAAAATTATCCTTTTTTAACATAGCTAGGGTAATTCAAATTCAAGTATGCTGAGTGGCATTTTCTCTTTGTCAGATCCCGTGCTACTTTTTGTAAAATTGATTTTATTTTCACACACATCATAAATAGGTTAAATAACATGCAATGCTTATTGCTTTCTATTTTATAAGAAACATTTCAAGAAGGTAAATGCAAAAGTTTTTGCTTCCAAGAGGCTGGGGAAATAGTAAAAACAGCTGCTTCACTTCTATTGTGACAGTGTCCATGGCTAAGCCAAGTCCAGTTCTAAACAACAATCAGTTGTAAGTCTCTGTTCTTCGTATTGTGTTATATCCGAGTTTCCATGGTTTGAGAATATCTAGCACCTTTGAGATTGCTCGCACATGCAACGCTTGCAGCAAATACACTCAAAGAAGGCAAAGTAAACAAGCTAGGCTGTTATCTTCCAACTGCTGTCCTCAGTTTCACATAAATAAATTTTATATTGTTGTACAGAAAGTTACATATATACATGTACTTGTACAAAAATGTTTGGTATTTGTAGCATCACTTTCTAAATATCATATATTTGTTCCAGAAAAAGCTAAAAGAGAAATCAGGTACAGATTACATATATTCCAAAACTGATTCTCAGTAATTTCTTCTGTTTAATAAAAAATACAGGAAGGTCTATCTGGGGGGCAAAGTTCTTCACCTCTTTGTGCAACAAACACAGTAATCAGAGTCAGGACAGTCGTGAAATGAAAAGTGCCTCTTGCACGATTGTCTGTAAATGTAAGAGGAGTATCGATCTGTAAGAGGAGTATCGATCAACACTGAACCAAAACACTGTTACTCCTTTTTCTTTCCTCTCATTGGAAGCAAAGTTCACAGGTTTACAAAGTAACTCTTGTGGCAGCTCTGGATATTAATATTACATTTTTCCTTCTCAGTCACCCAGTTAACCATGTGTTGAATCTTCAGTACAAACTTTAAATAATGTTCTTCAACATATAAACCAATGATATTACTTATTCACGTCATTCACTTATATCATAGTATGCATGTGTTATTTATATATATATTATATATAAATAAACACATGTTATATTCTTTTATTCTTGACAGAAAAGTGCAGTGGTGCTGATAAGTGTGTTGTGTGCGTGTTGTAAGTTATAGAATAGTAAATTAAGTGCATAAGAATGTTGTATGAGTATAAGTATGAAGACAAGAGGGGGGAAAAACAAGCTTTAAAGTATAATGGAAAGATAGAGAGGCCATTATTGTTGAGCCCCAGCAGAATGTGTACGGTGTATGTACCATGTGTCAGTGGAATTTTCTATTTCTAATTTAATAAATAATATACACATTTATGACAGGCACAGATTTCCATACTTGTAGAGATTTTTACTTACAATAATTCTACTGCATAATTATATGGAGCAAAAAATGTTTTAACCCTATCCGTACGTCGTGTTTTACTATCGTATCCATACGATGTGGGGAACTCTGTGCCACCACTTTCCAAAGAGGAAATTTACTCGTTAATCTGATCCGTACGCTTTGCATAGCAGTCTGTCAAAAGGATTTTTTTAGAAATACTGAAAGTTTCAAAGAGATCTTTGCACTAGAAGTATTCTAAAATGTGAAGAAGAATACAACCCCTGGGGTTCAAACTGACCCCAGGCATACGGATAGGGTTAAATGTACAAGTAATGGAACATGAGAATGTTCGTACTATCAATCAGAATAAAAAATTGTCTCTATAAAACCTAGAATGGTGTACCTAAGCATAACACAACATATTAACGAAGCAATTCTTATCATACAAAACAAAGTCAAAAAAATTTGCTGGATCAAAGCGAACATCATGGTTTGGAGATCAAAATGAAGATTAACATATTCGCAAAAATTGAGACAATGTATCATAAATACAAAACATAAAATAGCACAGGAGAAGTAATGTAGATGAGATGGATCTGATATAATTGGTTTTTAAGCAAAATTCTTACTTGTAGATAAAACAAATGCAATTTTCTCCGTTTGTACAGCTGATTGGAAACCAGTTTACAAACAAAGCAGGATGTACAACGGTGTTTAAAAATAAAAGAGGACCCACTTAAAGGGCAATAACTCGGTTATTAAAGCACTAATTTTAACCAAACTTCGAACAAATGAATGCAACCAGGGAGGCATCAATCAAGTTTGTAAAAATGAAAATCCAACAATGCCTCTGTGAAATATACACTTTTAATATATTCAACCAAATCTGGGTAAAACGCAAAATTTCACTTCATAGAAACATTCCGCTACATGGGGTGTGATGGACCCATTTTGGTTTCAGGATAAGGATTGTAAAACCACAACAGTCACATTAGATGGATATCTCACGGTGCTGAGAAAGTTTTGGAGAAGTTTGGGGAGGACAAGGTGTTATGCTGTAGAGGCCTGGTTCCAGTAGGATAGGGCAGCAGGGTTACACCCCAAGAGTGGTCCTTGTATGATTGCAAGAAAGGTTTGTGAATGCCTTTGAAGCCGAAATATTGCAAAGGAATGGTCACCACCTTTCCCCCCAAACTAGAGCCCTTTGAATAATTACCTTTGGGTTTTTTGACAGATAGAGTCAACGAAAATAAGTCACAAACAATCAAACAGTTGAAACTCAATGTTGAACAGGACGTCCAAAGAATCGGCCCCAAAAACAGGCCATGGGGATATTCAAAATTTCCTGCGGCGTATTGGAGCTTATTAGGAGAGAAATGGTCAAACTCTGGAGATTCAAATAGCCATTATCTCCCTGGGTTTATTTGCCAATATATATATTTTTGCATAAATTTGTTCTTCAAATACTTCTATGCACAAACATATAGTAACCATTTGAAATAGATCAGTACGATTGATTTTTTAAAACTCGCAAAGTTTGGCATTTCACTCAATTTTGATTAAAATTTTGAAAACTTAATTTTTCTTGAGCATAGCGGTTGATTTGTAATTTGTTTCGTTTTGTTGTAATGTCCCCCTGGTTGAACTTCATTCCTTCAACGTTTCATTGAAATTGGATTAAAGACGACAAAGTTATTGCCTTTTAAAAGGGTCCTCTTTTTTTTAGACACCCAGAACAAGTAGTTTTGATACTTTGTAATCACAAGGAATGTATATATAGCATTTCCGTACATCAATGTTTATGTGAAAGACAAGTACTGAGGACAGAACAATGCAATGGTTGTCTCACAAACATACTTGCACCCACAGAAACACACACACACACATGGTATACAAACACACACACACACACACACACACACATGGTATACAAACACACGCACTTATATACAAGCCTATGTGCAAATGCACACAACCACAATAGGTTTGGTTTGCAACATTACCACGGACCTCAAGATGACAGTTTGCCCAAAGAGGAAAAGAAGCAAGTATCAGGTGGCTCTTGCCCTAAAGACAGCTAAAATGGACAGAGGTTTATATTTCAATCAAAACAGAAAGGTCACTCTCGAGTCTGAAGCTGGGATACCCACAAGAAAATATGTTGAGTTTTCAATTATAAACTCAGCAAGTCCTCTCATGTCAAGAGTACAAGAATGGAACCCCAGTCTGTAATTCCCTTTCAAAGACAGGGCCACTACTACTCTGTCACATATGCCCCTGAAGAAAACTTAGTCCTAACATCCATCAAAGTTACACCAATGCTCATAGAAATCTTATTCTTTGCAAAAGAGCGGAAAAATTATTTTTTTTCCCATTAACTATTTCATATATATAATGAAGGTGGAAGTTTTTTAAAGAGCTGTGACCTATTACAGGACAGTGTATAGTCTAAATCAGGGTGAGGAGTTTGGACATCAGAAGAGCAGGTGTAGAAGAACTTCATAAGGATGATTACAATGCAGGCACAGCGGTGGTCTTTTGGGTTGACCCTATTCAGGAGGTAGCTTTGTGGTACGAGGGGTTCACAGGTAGAAATAAGGAAGCTTTATGACAGCATTATATGTGGAGAACTTGTGTATAAACAATCCTGACTCATTAAGAGTATACTACTGAAGGCAACACTGAACGCCTTAATAACTGTATTAATTCTGTAACAAAGAGATGAGAAAACAATACCTAATTTGAGACAAAATTTGACAGAGACGGAGTTTTTCTTTGTTCAGCAGAGAAATACAATTCTCATCAAAATAAGATTTTTTTTGTTTTTCAAGTCACAGATGAATGCATTTTCTATTTAGAGTAAACCCTCCCAGTCTCAGTCTCTTTCCTTTCTCTCTCTGATCCAGAATCTAGCTCAGTTTTCTAAATTTTCAACGCTTTTAAAGTACTAAAAACATGTCTTTGCAACAGCCTATAAGTGCAATAATTACAAAATAGAGATCGCCATTTTGTATTTTGTGGAGACTGAACAACATTATCTGCAGTTCAATAGAGCATGTTAAGGCTATTGTAAAGTATGTGTTTGATGAACATCTTGAACTTCTTTCCTGGTCCTGAATAGTACATGCAGTGATAAAGCATGGGAAAATACTGTATGTTACTTAGTGATGAGCAAGCGATGCAACTAGAGGCACTCGAAGAAAGAGCATTGAATAGTTTTTACAGAACATCTTACACATTTTTTTAGTGAGGGGATCATTTTGAAGTATCAAGCATAATATCAGCATTCTGCTGATACCATTTACTTTTGTGCGTATGGCAACTGTCTTTACTTTGTAAAAAGTACATTTATTTAGCAATAATTTTCCATCTAGTGAAATGTTTCAAGTTCAAACATAAATATCTGCATATTTGAAGCGTGAAAATAACTGAGAGATCATGAATATCTTTCAATGAGGCATGAAAGATATACCAGTACAAATGATAAACAGAAAGACAGAAAGAGAGATGAAAAGAAATGGAATGAGAGAAACACACACAAAACAATGAAACAAATACAATCACAGATACATTCTAAAAATAATAAATTATCAAATATGAAGCTAGTATCTTAGTAAGAATGTGCATCAGTTTGTTTGCTATAAAAGGAAGAGTCGCAATAAGCTCGATCAAGAGTTGCTGACTGGAGGCTGTTGGTAGAGCTTACTATAGCGCTGACTGTAGTTGGTGTGGGGGTTCCAGTTCACTGGTGGACGCAAATCTCGCCCCGCCAGATATCTGAAAGACAAATATAGTTTTTTGTTGAAGTAAGAGCTTTATGGCACTTGAACACAATAAGGTCATATAAGTGTCAAAGATTAGAGTTATTAAATTCCAAGAGAGTAACAAACACAAAAAAGGAGGAGAGATAAGGATGATAGATGTCTGACAGTTTAAAACAAATTAACCGCAAGTGGAATCAACTGACAGACCTGACAAATCTGAAAAGTTAACTTCAAACGCTACTAATGGGCAGTGAAACTTGGTTCTTGAGAAGTTCTACTGAAAAGAAGCAGTAAAGTCTCTGAAAGCGCTGTAATTAAAAAATTTAACAACCAGGACTGACCCATTCTGTGGCTGGGACTGTGCCGTGTTGTCTGGGGCAGACTCCGGAATGGCGGACTGGCTGCCAGGGTTCTTGGCCTCATCTGCAAACTTGTACACGATGAGCAGGCAGTCCTTGCAGAGCTGCACGATGCGTCGGCAGCAGTCCAGCTCCACCTCAGAGATGTTCTCGCTGCTCTTGCTGAAGATTGTCTCCCAAGAGTTGCTGAGAAAGTTATTACAGAGTAAAAGTATAGGTTTTATATCACTTTCAACACTGTATGGTTATTAAGGTTTAAGAGGCTGGACCTTTAAATTTAATTGCCATCTTCGATAGGGTGAAGCTTTTAATTGCCATCTTCGATAGGGTGAAGCCAAATGGATTGAAAGCCTTGAAAACTACACAAAATTTTAAGTGCACTCTCTTTAAAATTCTGTAGGTCATTTTTATAAAACATTGCTCCTCTAAATTGAAGATAGTATCTGGCAGAAGGGCAAACCAGGCATTACCCACTATCCCGGCCCTTTAGAAAAAAATGAAACCCCTAGATTAGTGAGAAAGTGCACACAGGCTTTGCATGAAATGAGGTGTTTATAGATAAACTTGTACTAGAGTAGACAATCATATATCTCAAACCAAATGAAAAAGGACACTTTACTGCTCAGAACCTTGATGGAGAACTCAAACAAAAAACAAAAAAACCCACCCCTAAACCGTGCCAAAACCAACCAAACAAACAAAAAACATATGGATTCTTACCCCGTGGCAGAGAAGCAGTTCCACAGACCCTGCCCATGGCTCCATAGCAACCGGTTAAACACACGACTGAAGATACGGTTAAGTCTCAGGTTGTCTGTGTCAGATGTACGCCAGATTCGCTGAAGCATGGCCCGTACATTTGACCGAACGATATCAATGACCTGGGTAAAAAAACATAAAAAACAAATATAGTTAAATATCTCCATGCTGTCAACCTTTTCTTTCTCTTTTAACTCAATCAGATATCACTTATCCCATCATTCTTGAAGTATTATAAAAGACAGGCAAATCATAGAAGACTTTAGTTAGTTTAGTTTTAGTAGAGGTTTTACGGCACTCGCAACTGCTTAAGGTCATATGAGCGCCAGAAGAATAGAGGTGTTACAAGAGAGTAACAAACATAAAAAAGAGGAAGGGGAGATAAGGACGATAGATGTTTGATAGGAAAGAAGGAAAGAGTACAACATTGATAACCTCAAAACTGAGAGTCCTGCTTTACAGTGTTAAAAAGTTCTTGTAAAAAAGATGAATTGAAGTTCCCCAACATATGATCTTGGCAAACTGCAAAATAACTACTAAATAAAATACAACAGACACTAAGACTGACAGACCTACCAATGCAGAACTGTGCCAGAAAGCCAACATCCCATCCGAAGAGAAAGAGTAACAATTATTTTTCTCAAGGTTCCAGACCGTTTTCCATATGACTGTATACTAACTGTTCTATAACCAGACTTGCCAACTTTTTCAAAACCAAGTCAGGGACACCTAATGTTATAACATCATATTATGTAATAACAAATAAAATAACATCAAGTGAGACTGCTTTTGGTGTAGTGTTTGTGATCAGACTCAAATTCATGACTGCCAAATCCGGGACAGTCACGGGAAATTTTAAACAGTTAGAAAGTCTGGATGATTATGTTTGTGCTACATTGTTTATTATCAGAGTTGTATGAACTGTGACCTTCCTGTCGGTGATCAAGCCTGTAGTTTGTATAGTTTGGCTGGTTTTGAGATCTTGACTCTGAAGCATTGACTTCAATTGAAATGTATACAGATTGTACAGCCTCTAGTTGCACTGACCTTGCGACGTTTGATTGAGTCAAGTTTGACCAGCCAGTAGGAAGCTATCCTAGGCTTATGGAACTTCCAGTTCTCCACCAGCTGAAACACACAGAAACACATGAAAGGGTAAAATATAATAAGGGCAAAGATATTTCTCGTCAAAGTGAAGTTTCCATAATTAGTATTTTCATAGTAAGAAAAACTTCGCCTCAAAAATAGTCTAAAAGTGTTGATAGGAACGTTGAACCCTTACACTTACTTTACAAGAAAAACAAACAATGGAAGAGTACATCAGCATACAATAAAGAATACAATCTTTTATAATACCAATGACAAAAAAAGATTTTTAAAATCATAGACAGAAACAACAACAACAATATTGACATAGGACCAACCAGTGGCGCCATCCAACCATCTACCCTCTTCAGTTGGTGCACTACTATTATTACAAAACAAATGAACAAACAAACACACAAAATGTCTTCTTCTATGACACTGACCATGTCAAGTAGAAGCTCTGCCTCTGAGTCTGACTTGCCCGGGAACTTGATCCTCATCTCATTGAGGGAGGTCATTGTCTTTGTGGTCAGCTCCTCCTCCCTCTCCTTCACCATCGAATTGAGGAAGTTGTCGTCCTGAAAAATGTAACACAGAGTGTTACTATTATTATCATATCATAAACATTCCTGACGGATGTGTACGAGGTGCTGAGATGCTAAACCCACTACATCCATTTTAGCTCTTTTGAGAACAACAGCTTTTTTTAATGCTGCTATACGCACGAACATGAGTAAAAAGAAGATTCTTTGGTGGCTTTTATGAAGTATGTGTTGGGTGTTGGCCAAAAACACTTTGAGCATCTGATAGCCAGTAAAAATGTGCATTTATAAACCAAAAAAATCTTGATTTTTTCCAAAATGTCGCTGAGCGGGTTTTGCATATCACCCCCTCATATATTGCATCTTTATGATATCATTCATCAATGTTGATAATGTTTGACCAAAGTTGCCATTTTATATTTCCATAGTATACTTGTCAAGAATGTTTTTAACAGGCAACCTGTTGAATGTTTTTACTTCAATAGAACAATGGGAACTTAACATTTACAATAAATGACCATTACACTTCGAAAAAAATAATTCAGTTAAATATTACAAATATTTCTGATGGATATACCTAGAGAATGTAACACAGCACTTTCGTCAAATTTTATTAACATTCTTGATGGATATATACTATGAAAATGTAACACAGCACATAGAGATGGAGACGTGGTGTCAATCCAAAGTCCCCAGTTTGAAATTGGAGGATAAACAAGTAACTGCTCCTACAAAATGAACTGATCTGCACAAGAAAGCAACAAATCACTAATGTACTACAGAAGTATTAGCAATGGGCACAGATTTTCTCAAGCTGTCATTAACTCTTACAAAAAGCAAACATTTTACTAATAGTAATAGAAAGGAACGCAATTTTTTTCCTTGCTCCTTAAATTCTTCCTTTCCTCTTTCTCCTTTTTCTTTTTCTTTCTTCCCTCCTTCTCTTTTAGATTCTTTGTTCTTGGCATTTACAGACAAAGTCACACTCAAAATCTACATCACAAGTGCAAATTTAACCAAAGACGTACTGCTATGCAACATAAAGTCTTCATAGCGTTAATAAAGCTGACTCACCACATTGGAACGTTGCAGAGTGGCCAGTTTGTTAGTGGTAGCCGCCCGAGTGAGACTTCTGGACCTATGCTGACCGCCAGCCCCACTGAACCCTGCCTGGCTCGCCGGTCTCTGCTGGTGACCAGCGGCCTGCGACTGAGAGTTGTAGGTGAGCACAGACCCTGGCCGGGAGCCTGAGGCCCCACTGCCCCTGCTGCCTTGGCTCTGAGGCCGTGACCTTGACCCTGATCTGCGACGGAGTTGTGGGCTGCCGGGAGGGCTCACATCGCTTTCGTCGTCATCAAAGTCGTCATCGTCTGGAGGGGGTGGCAATGACTCTGGCATACTCTGAAGGGGCTGCAAAAAAACCCCCCAAAGAAACAAAAACTATACTGGATCTGTAGTGCTGACATTTTTGTTGTTGACGGCAATACCAACCACAATCTCAATTCTTGCGCAATTAAACGGAGCCGAAGGAGGGGGGGAGGGTGGGGGGTGGGGAGGGAGGGTGGCACTGGTCGAGAAAGAAATCCCAGAATCAGAAAAAAAAGAATGTAGTGAACAAAAGTCAGAGGCAACACCTTCTACAATAGTCATCACAGCAGTCTTCCTATGGGCAACAAGAGTCAAAAAAAGGTTGCTGCACAGTGTTAACAAAATTACAAAATATAAATATTTGGCACTGTTTTATTTTGCCCAAAACTTTATAGAAAAAGTTGAGCTTAAACAAAAATATGAGAGTTGGCTGAAAGTAACGCCTGTTTGACCATAACTTTTTTATTTTTACCACTTTTTGCAGGAATGATGCACCAAAAGAAAGTATAGAATCTCAGCTACATATTGCTAAAATGTGTGTTACATATTGCACTCTGTCACATTTTGGAAGTAAACATATTGTAAAGAGCTTGGAGCCTGAGTGATCTTGTGCCACCTATTCCACTTTATTGTATCGAAAACGTGAGCTCTATTGATCTCGGAAGTCTCAAAGGATCCGTACACTTCACAAAACTGAGACAACCTTTTTATGTGATGGATCGCAAACATCCACTCACCTTAGGCCCCCGCTGGGGTCTGGCACCAGGATAAAGTCTGGAATCTCTCTCATCGGCTTCACACTCGGCAATCATGTCAAGAAGTTCATCCTCCTTAAGATGTAAAAAAACATTCAATAAGATAAGTAACAACATCTGAAGTTGTTCCTGTCGAAGAATCCTACACATGGACAAAAAAAGCCAGGTATACACAACACATTTCATCAGCCAGCTATTCAGATATACTAAGCCCCAAATATATTTCCACATTTCTTCATCGTTCCTGAAACAAAAGTTGCTATTTTCTAGAAAACAAAACCAGTTGACTTGAACTGAATATAAAGTTTTGATACAAAACCATTCTATTCATTAAAGTATAAAACAGACGGTAAACTTACTTCTATAGCTCAGAAAGAGGTTTTTTCATCTTTAAAACAACACAACAAGCATGCAGCTCACCCTGTATTTGTTATTGTAGTTGACTTGTATCTCCTTCTGCATGCTGTTGCTGCGGCCAGCAAGAAAGACAGAGAACGCAGTGCTGAGGATCCGGCAGTAGCGATCCTGCCGGACACGGTCCTCGCTGGGGAAGATGCGCCGGAAACGGCCGCAGTTACGGTTCTCATAGTCCTCTTTGTCAGCCATCTTACGAATCCGATTCAAGAGTTCCTTCTGTAAAAATGCATTAGAACTCTCTGAGTTTGAGTAAAGAGAAACTCACTGACACAATATCAGTCATGTAGTGCAGGGAAAGAGTAAGACAGACAGACCTAAACAGAGGGGGGGAAAAGATGTAGGAGCAACCAGTGGCACCCTCCTACCACTTACTCAGACCTCTATAATGTGTAACTAAAGACAAAGGTACAATATTGTTCTCGTAACATTCTTTTGTTCAAGATTTATCTAGTTTGATACTTTACCTAACTGCTTCAACAGTCTTTCATGAAAAAGTACATTATATAGTTAAAACACAGCGGTCCTCTTTGTTAGCCATCCTACAAATCTTATTCAAGAGTTCATTCTGTGAAAATGTATAATATCCCTTTGAAAGAGTAATTGAAAAAGAAGCTAAGATGATCTCACAATACCATTTTGTTCCATATTTAACTAATTTGACATTCTGAGAAACTGGTTTAAGAGTTTATCACAAATAAATTATAAACATTATATGTTCCAGAGAGAAAGTTAAAAAAAACAAAAAACATAATTTCAGCTTTAACACTGTTTTTAGCTAAAACAAACATACAGTCTTAAATAAGGAAATAAAGGTAACTTTAAACCCCCCC